GTGTGTAATGAATGCACGGCTTCAAATTTTTTTCTTCTTCAAGTCAACGTACTGAGTTCTTAAAAAACATCTCTACACCAGAGATATTATCTCTATCTATAAAAGGCAGGATGTGTGTGTGCGCGTGTGTTAATGAATGCACGGCCGCAATTTTCAACAGATTTGCACCAAAATTTGCATGTACATGCTTGAAGTTGGCGGGAAGGCTAAGACTGACTTTGCATTTCCCAACTCCCATCGATAGTGGAAATAATCAATTTTTTCATGCTTCTACAGCAGTTTTCATGTAGTTTGCAGCCATTTTTTACTGGCCAGAGCGAGAGCCAATAGCTGGCTGCCACAAATAGGCAGGAAGATTCTAGTGGCCAGCGTGAGAACCAACAGCTGACTGACACAAATGTTAACTAGCTTGCTAGCATGTAAAAAAAATCGATAGCTGCATTCGTCAATTGTGAAAATTTTAAATCTGCATGGCACTTTACTCCAATTGGCTCATTCACTTGCTTAAACTCAACGTTGATTCTGATTCCGCAGAACTGGGTTGGGTGTGAAAAAGTATTTGTTTTTAACATTCTTTTTTCATTCGGTTTTTCCAGTTACGAGTCCTTTTTTAAAGCTGATCGATTTGTGTTCATTTTGTTTAGTTCTTTTTTCGTAACAGATTTAATGTTTAGTATAGAGCTTAGAAAAAATTTGCAGTGAGAGATAGGCAAGAAGTAAGGCATGTAGCAACATCAGCACGGCAAAGGGCACTCCTTTAAAGGCAAGGAAGGGCAAAAATATTTTAAGTCAAGTGATAGCGATTGCTGTATGAGTCATACAATTTTTGAATCAAGCCCGGGCAATGCCAGGCCATGCTGCTAGTATATATATATAATAGTAATAATAATAAATATACATTTTTTTCCCTCAGTGGTAACACAACTCTGAATGTAGTAAGTTAAGACTGTGTTAACTCACCACCTGAAGATTGCATTGTGCACAAAACTTGTGTTACTGCTGAGGAAAAATGTATATTTATTAATAATATATAATTTATAGTTCTGTTATTTTACATCAAGCACTATATTATTAAGACCATCACTCAATGTACGAGATTATATATACATATATATATATATATATATATATATATATATTTATTTGATATTCTGGATTATAAGAATAATTATTTTCATGCAAGTAAATATTGTCTTAATTTTCTGGTGGGGAGAGAAGATAACAATGATTTTTCCACATATAAGTCCTACTATTTAACCCATAGCTAGAGGAGAAGGGATAGATTCATACTTTTTCCAAGGGTATTTGTAGAGATGTGAATGTAATGAACTCAACTGGAATTCAAACTCAGCTCTCCAATTTTTCATTTTGAGCTGTTATCCATTACACCACCTGCACATCCATGTTTGTATGTGTGTAGATATAGAAGGTATGTTTGGTATTTTATAACACACTTTTAGCAATCTATAAATGGAAAACAATGTAATGGGAGCATTAACATGGCAGCTTCCAATCTGACAAGGAAAATGAAAAGGAACATTATGCTCGAGGCACTAGCCACTAACAACAATGATTTAAAGATAACCAGCTTCTTGAAAATGGCCATGTCCATGATGTTCAAGGTCATGAAGAGGCTGGATGTGTCATATGTGGTTAACAGAAAGAAACATTCAGCCATAACAGCATAATACATTATTATTTCTGTTGAGTTCAAACAAAAGAAGGTTATCATGTTGTGTCTCAGATTATTATTTTTTGTTGTGGGGATTACCACATGTTGAAGAAAGATATTTCATGGGAAAGATAGTGTTGTGATAGTACTATGAACACATTTTTTAATCATTTCACACCAGCAAGGCAACAAAGCCACTAAAATGCAGGGTCTCTTTGAGTGTAAAAGAATATAAGAAAAAAAAACAACACATTATTAAGGAGCAAAAACAATAAAATAGAAATTAAGAAGAAAGGATTTAACAAATGATAATGTATCTAAATTTTTAAAAATCAAACTTGACTAGAAAGCAAGAAGCTAGAAGAGACTTCCACAAGTCAGAAGTGTGAGAAAAGAAACTGTTAGAATAGAACTTAACAGTTATATCTAGTCACTTCAACTGTAAAATGATGAGATCTTGCTACCAATTTAGTACAGCGCTTAAATTCAAAGAGTCTAGGTTTCATAAAAAAAAGTTTATCAGAACAATTACCATGAAAGTATTTATAGAAAAAGCACAGGGAAACTACATTATGATAGTGGGAAAGTGACTGAAGCCAAGATGCCAAGTCTGGACCAATAATAGTGCAGATTCTTCTTTGTATTTTATCAAGGATCTCTAAATATATAGCAGGAGCACCAGACCAGATGTGTCAGCAATATTCAAAGTATGGACAAATGATAGACTTATAAATATGTAAAATAGATTTAGGAGAAAAATTTGTCTAGAATGATATAGTGAACAAACTTTCCTAGCAGCAGATATAGCAAGTGATTCAATATAATCTTTTCACTTCATGTCTGTGGAAAACATTAGCCTGAGAAGGCACAAGTCATTTTCCTGGAGGTTAGCATCAGCCATGCTGATAGAAGGCAGAAAGGGTTCTTTCAGATGATTGATTGAGAACAGTTTCATTTTGTAGGTGTTTTTTTTTTTAAGGCAATGCACCCCAAGCAAAGCAGGAGTGCCACTAGCATGCAAGGGGTTACAGAGGATTGAGAACAAGAGTAAAGAGGCGTGTTTGAGGAAAGGATATAGAGAAGGATGGGGAACAAGCTCAGGGTGTCAGATGTCAATTGACATTACACTTGAATATTTGAAGATTATAGTTATTGGGAGAGCAAGTAAGGGTAAGGTAATTCCACAGACGGGAAGTGCGGGAGAAGAAGCTGTTTGAGTAGAAGAGATGGTTAGATTTAACCATTTTGACAGTGAAAGGATGGGACCTGGATGCCAGCCTTCATGTAATCTGGGAACCAGCAAAAGTAGCTTGTCAGAACAATTGCTGTGAAAATACTAGTAGAAGAGACAGGGAGGCCACAGCATGTCTGTGGGATAGCAATTGTAGACTAGATGCCAGATCAGGACCTAACATCTTGCATATTTGTCTCTGGATTTTGTCAAGGACCTTGTGACATACAGCGGGAGCACCAGACCATATATAACAGCAATATTCCATGCAAGGATGGATGGTTGATCTATAGATTTGAAGGATGGACTCAGATGAGAAAAACTTTCTGGCACAACACAGAGAACCAACTTTCCTTGTGGTAGATGAATCTATTGATTTAATGTATTTATTCCACCTCATTTCAGTGAGACCAAGCAGACATAACAAAGTGCTCTCAAGAAGCTGGGAATCAGCCATTCTCATGAGAGGCATGAATGGTTCTCTGTGGTGGGTTAAAATTAACAAGCAATTACTTGCTCCAATTGAAAACAGAATGTAAGTCATTTTTTAGATCAGCTGTCAATTTGACCTTATTGAACAAATCAGAATTACTATTATTGCCTTAGAAGATTAAATAGGAAAAATATAAAAATGGAAGTGTGTATATAAAGATGCCCTTATCTGTATGTACAATGCATGTAAATTTCTATTGAAGATTTTGAGAGATTCACATTGGATAATTTTTTGTTAGTTTGGTACAGCTATCAGTTTAAGGTATTTTATACCATGTTGCATACAGTGCAATATGTGTTCTGCTGAGAACTAAGAAGTTCCACAGTGAGGAAATAAGATGTTCTTATGGTATCCTGTTATTTGGCAATGGCATCTAATAGTCATTAGTATAAGTTCCCTGGAAAACAAGTGGGGAAATCCATCAGACTCAACAATGATCTGTTTATGGAACATTTTTTACATTATCTTTTTCAAACCTTTCATTGTATGTTCATCCTTTCTTTTTTATTTTATTTGAAGTATCTATTTCATTAGAACCGTAAATATCTGGTGTGTTTCTACATTTTCTGCTTTATCAAAATTAATGTTACTTTACATGTTCTATGTACTCAATAAACATTTGGACATTGCCTTGACATTGAGTAATAGTTAACAAAGTCAGTCTTGTTTATCGTTACAACTGAGCAGGGATTTCAATCCTCACTATCTGCTCCGTACTGTCTTGCACTAGACAATTTTTCCAGAATCTATCTACACCTTTATAAGTCTACCATTCATACATGCATGATGTATTGCTGTCACATCTGGTCCAGTGCTTCTTCTGTGTATCTAAAAATTCTTGACAAAATACAAAAAAAAATCTGGAATATTATAAGTCTTGACCTGGCATCTCAGATTCAATGATTTTTCCCATTGCCCTAACATAGCATTGATGTGCCTTTTCTATAGATAATTCCATGATAATTGCTCTGATGAACTTTCAGCTTTGGTACCTAGACTTTAGAAATTTAAGCACAGTACTAGCTTGGCATTTAGGTTTCATCATTTTACTTTTGAAATTGTTAAATGTAACTGTAAGTTCTACGCTAACAATGTCTTCCTTCACATTTCTCACTTCTGGAAGACTCTTCTGGCTTCTTGCTTTCCTGTCAACTTTGATTTTCCAAAATTTAAATGCAACATCAATCGTCATCTGCTGTCTCCTTGAACCCTGTTCTTTTATTGTCCTTTCTTCTCAAACTTTTACTCAAATTCTTTCATTCTCAGTAACCCTTGTGTCTTAATGGCTTTATTGCCTTGCTTAGGGTGAAATGAAAAAAAAAAGAGAAAACAGAAAAGTCAACATTCAGTTACCCAAAAAGAGTTAACATGTAAAAGCAACTCAGTCCAAAACATATTTAGGAAAGTCAAGTTAGTGACTTAGTTGAATTGTACAATAACAACTTAATCATTTAAAACTATAAGAAATGCCTTTTTTTTTACACTTTAGACATCTTAAAAAGCAACAATATCATACAATCTATCACTTATCACCATCAAATGTCAGACATCACTTATAAGATAAGCAGAATAATAAATACTCATAAATCAAACCTGAACCTTACAGTGATTGGTTTTCCTCTGGTTTTTTAATGCTCCAAACCATGTGGCACAATTGACGTGCTTGGTGCAACTACAAAAACAAAAAGAACAGTCAAAATACAACCTACAATAAAGCAATTAGCAGTACCTATGAAAATTTCAGTTTTTCTTATTTTAATTTTCTGTTGAATCAGGATTCTTAATGTAAGAATAAAATAATAGGGTACAAATAAAAAGATTCAAAATTGATACAGTTTTTGCATTTTGCTGGAGTAGATGTTAAAGCCTGACTTATCTTCCCTTTTTTTATTATTATTTTGTTCAAGGTTTTTCCTTTTGCTAAAGCAGACATTAAACACATGAGAGCGTTATCACTTCTTGTATTTCTTCTTTCTAAAAGCATATACACTGCTACAACGCATCAAAGAATGAGGCTTACTGGAAGTTCAAAAAGGTATTGAGATTTACTCTATCTGCTGCTGCTCTACCAAGAATTTGTGGGTAGGGGATAGGCAAGCTAAATCAGGGTATATTGTATGTGCTAAGGAACAAGCAAAGTTATAATTTGATTCTCTTTATATAATAAGCCTATTATTTGTATAATGTATCCTATAATCTATAAAGGCTTACAGTCATGTCACATTGAAATGCTGGTTCTCATACAATCACTGAAGTTAAGCAACATTGAGCCTGGTCAGAACTAAGATGAGTCACCATTTGGGATTATCAGGTTCTGTAAGCTTTGATGTTTGGGTAGTGTAATGGCTAATGGCTAATGGCTCAAAGAGCTTAGTTCTAATGCTAGTTGGGTTCGTTATATGCAAATATGTTTTGGAAAGGTATAAGTTAATTAGTAGGACTTATATTATTATCTTCCCCCAAAATCTAAAATATTTTCTGGCTTTAAATAACCTGTTAAAGGTTGATAAGTCATAAAAAAACAATCAATCAATATAACCATACCAATATTTGCTTACCTTTGAGCAATTCGCTTTAAGATATCTCATCATATTACATAAAAATTACTACAGTCAAGTTTCAATATAACAACATAAAATTGTTGCAAAGTACATATAAACAAGATTGAAAATAATGTGCTCAAACCCTGGGGAATGTCCCTCCCCTTCTGGAGGGGGTTAGGATTGTTACATGGCACTTAAGGCATTTCTAAAAGGGAACATGCCAAGGAGTCTTGAGCAGTTTTTTGTTCCTAGTTCATGTACACATGGGCACACATCTCACTTAAACTTGACCTTCTGCTCAAGTGTGTGTGTGTGTGTGTGTGTGTGTGTGTGTGTGTGTGTGTGTGTGTGAATAAACATAACCTTGAATAGGTATTGCCAATAATCAAAAGAAAAAAGATGCAAAAATAACAACAGTTATGGGACAGAGGTAATATGATGTTTTTCTTAAAGTTTATATCAATTCATAAAATCAAAATTTTAAAATCAAAAAAAGATTTTTGATATGATCATAACAGATGCTTTACTATTTGTAAATTGCAGTCATATCATGAAATGTTTGAGTTGTACAATAAGAACTGCAATCAGAAAAATCATTTTCTTTTAATTTATTTTTATATATTAATATAGATTAAGCAATTCACATCATGAATATCAATTATTTTTATTAAATTTTATAAAAGTTAATAGTTGAAGTCAAGATGCCAAGTCAGAATCGATTAAACTGCAAATCATTCATTGGATTTTATCAAGAACTTTGAGATGAATAGCAGGACCACAATATTCTGATGAGAAAAACCTTCTGGCACAACACAATAAACCAACTTTCCTTGCAGCAGATGCAGCTATTGATTCAATATAGTTGTTCCACTTCAAGTCATTTGAAAACGTGAGGCCATGACACTGAAAATTTTAGTCCATGTCAACTACATTTAGCTTTCCTTGAACAAAATAAAAACTAAGCCTGTTTGTTTTTCTTGTGAAATATATCTGTCAAAAGCTGTTGTTTCCAAACCAGAAAAATAAAGACTTACCTGACTAGCCACATATTCTTTGGCAATGTTCTCTAACTTTACTTGAGGTTCACATTTCAGAAACTTTATTAGAAATTCTGTGAAAGTATCTTTCACCTGAAAAGTGAAAGTAACACATAAAATATATATATATATATATATATATATATATATATATATATATATAAAAACATTTTGCAAATAATTGATCACCCTCAATGCTTGTCATCTTAAGGGTGATCTAACATTCAAGCAGCCTCGAAAAAGTCTGCTCAAAAAGTTAATCTTTTTTATGAAATTGTATTATTTAAAAGAAAAAAAACGTTATACTGTCAACATCATCATCTCCTAGACTTTTGTAATTGTAGGAGGGATTTGAATGCAGAAGCCACACTGAATCTCCTCCACAATGGTCTATCAACAGCAGCCATCAGCAATTTTGGTATAGTCATACTTGTCCATTGTTTGACATTGTCCAACCAGTTTTGCATTGGCATCCTTTCCTACATCCACCTTCAATGGTGCCTTGCATCATGGTCTTGTACAGGCTGTTGTGGCTTGTAACATGTCCAAACAATGCCATTTTTCTCAGTTTAACGGTGGTGAGGAGAGGTTCCTGATGGCCTACAAAACTTTCAACCCTTTTTTGCACAAACTTATTGGTTTTATGTCCCCAACAGAAGATGCTAAGGAATTTTCTCCTACATTGGTTCTTAAAAACTTGGATCTTTCTCTCTGTTTCTGCCAACAGTGTTCATGTTTCACATCCATATAGGAGAATGTAGACTACCAGCAATTTGGTACAGTCTATACTTCGTTTGGAAGCTGATTTTACTCCTCCATATTCTTGCCAATTTGGCCATTGCTGTGGCAAGCCGTGTGTGGATTTCCAAGTTGCAGGTACCATCTTTAGACAAGATTGCTGCCAAGTATTTAAAACTGGACACTTCCTCCATTTCTAATGGCTGCATTAAAAAAAGCATCTCTTTGACTGAATGATTTTAACTTCCTTGCACTCAGCTAATTTGAAGAGATACATATTCCCCTGGTAGCATTTTTGAAAATTTTATTTGCTAGATTGATGCCCTAAGCCAAAAGCATTGTACATAAACATTAGAGCCTTTGTACTTATCTCTCTTATTTAGCAATGTCTTGCAGTAAAAGTATCATACATCATACATATGTACAAGCACTTCTTGAAGATTTTGTTACAAAAATTGGTTAAGAAACTTTACAAATTTTATTTACCATTATTTTTTTGTTTAAGATTAACACATTGATTCTTTCTACAAATTGTTTAAAAAAGGTACCTCCCCTTTTTTGCTGAAAAAACCCCGAACTTAATAAAAACAAAGTTTTATCATCAAAAATGTTTATGTTATTATTAAGAGGAAAGACTAAATTATTTTTTAATTATTTTATTAAATTTTTTAATCCTTTCTAGTACATTCAAAATTTTGGTTAATAATCTTGTTCTTTTTTCATCAGCAGTCAACATAATTTTTACGATTAGTGTTTTTTTACTTTTTTCTGGTGAGAAACACATTAATTTGGAAATTTTTGAAAAAATCAAATAATTGTTGGATTTTTAATGAAACTTTCAGGAATTCACAAATGAATGAAATTATTTTTTAAATTTTGTTTTTGAAAATCTTGATATAAATATTTTTTTTTACATGTTACCCTCCCACACACACTTAATTTTGAGAAATTAAATTTTCATACAATAATGAAACTTCAAAAATTTAAATTTAAAAATCAAAGATTTTACAGTGTAAATAGACAAATTCCAATTTGTGTCATATACTTAACGTAGTCTATTTAAGAAATAAAAAGGACACTTATACTTAGAATCAGAAAGATACAATTGAAATTTCTAGGAGATAATGAAAAAAGGGGTCTTGGAGAATTTGGCACTCACAGGACATATTAAAGGCAGGAGAGCCAGAGGTAAACCTCAAGTAACCTACCTAATGAGCACAACAGGGACTGCAGGAGACAGTAAGGAAACAAACATTACTTAGAGCTACAAAGAATGAGAAGTTGTGGAGAACCATGATCATTGATGTCCTGAAGGGACATGACACATTAAAAGAAGAATTAATTTTTTTTTAAAACTGAGTTTTCAGAGAATTATTTTTACAGAGTTTTTGGCAAATTCCCATGACCATACCCAAGTTAAGATAGTTACTTATACAACTACAAGATAATGTTCTTCCTTCAGTTGACATCTCTGTTATATTTACCAAAAATACAACCAAATATTTTTTAAAGAACGCTGTTCATACTCACACATATAATAATTAGTGTGGAAACATATTCTGTGTGTGTGTGTGTGTGTGTGTGTGTGTGTGTGTGTGTGTGTGTGTGTGTGTGTGTGTTTGTGTGTAAAAATAGGAATCAATTTTCTTTTGTCTAATGTATTAAGAAACCTTCTAAGTCAAGGACAAGTTTTCAAAAGATATAATTTTAAAATATCTTCATTGACACATGAGAACTAGTGTAGTATATGAGATCTGATCAAAAAGTATTGGGACTGGTGCTACAAAAAGTAAACTACAATATATATCAATTCGGCATTTAATCTCCATGAAGTAATCCCTCCCTTTTGAATTCACATATTTTATCCAGCATTGTTTCCATTGATGAAAGCATTCCTGGAACTTTTGGGGGATAGCAAGCAGCTGCCTCATCATATTCTTTTGGATTGCTTCAACATTGTGAAATCTTGTTCCTTTCAAATGGGATTTGATTTTTGGAGAGGAAAAGTCACAAAAGGTGAGTTCTGGGAAATATGGTGGTCACCAAACCTGGGAAATGATGTGCTTGGCCAAAAACTGCTGCATAAGCTATGGTCACTGATGGAACATCTGTGATGTGGTGAGATAACCACACTCTACACACTGTCTTTCAAAGTTCTGCTATAAACAATGAAAGTTAATGTGAATATAACTTAGTGTGCATGCGCTATAGAGTTCGAGATTAATCTTTGTCAAGCGGCTTCACTCTGCCTACTTTAGCACCATTACCATAGCAAACAGCCCTGATGCTTTTTGATCAGACCTTGTGTATAAGATTTTTATTTATTTTAAGTCATTACCTTCTGAATGTTGCAGTAAATTCTAAAAAGTTCCTAAGAAATTTAAGGAAAATGTTTTTAGTGTTTTGAGCACTGATTTCTTCTGGTACAGGGGCTTTATTATTAATGATAAAGTTAGATAACATCAAAGAAACTAACATCACACTTTAATGAAATTGAAGCAAAAATGTGAAGATCAGTTTTAGTAATTTTCACAAATATTAATTGATTTGTTTCATTATTTATAAACACTCTTACTTGCTATCATTAATAGCTTATGATTATTTTTTTCACCTTAATCAAGGTAATAAAGCCAATAATATGCAAGAGTGAAAGAAATTAAAAAACATTATTGAGTAGAAAGGACAATAAAAGAACAGTTTAAAAAAATGAAGGTGACAATACATGTTGCATTTAAATTCAACTACTGTTTGGCATCCAAGATTGAAAACATTTTTTCAATGTCTTTCTTATAAGAAAGTCTCAGACTTCTAATTGTTTTTAACAATTACAAATAATTAAGTAATTAAATTGTAATGAGTCCCAATAAAAATAAATTATAAAAATAATATATATAAACAAAAATAAAAAGAATTCAAATTAAAATAAGGTATTTGTGCTTTCTTTTAAAAGCCTTATCTCTTATTTTTTTCTCCCTCTCTAAACTGAACTGGGCTGAAAATGTCAGAAGTTAGCAGGATCAGAGCTCACTTACTTGCAACTGAAAAATACCAAAAATCAGAGAGGCTCTACACATAACTTCCATTAAAAAAAAAAATGAAAAAGAAAGAAGAACTGGAAAATAAAATAATTTTGGCCAATCAAAAAAATTGCTGCTAAGAGACTTTTGATATTAGCTGAAACCAGTGTTCACGGTAGAGTCTTGAAGCTTGGGCAAAATGATATAAGTTGACACCTCTGAGCTAGAAGCGAGAAAGGATAGTGAGTGTGACCAACAGAGATGTGACCACTGCAAAACTAGCCATGCAGTGAAGGATTAGTTAAGAAGTCACCTGCTAATGATATTTCTTCTCTGCTTAGAGCTGAGAAAAACAGCATAGATTGACATTGATCTATTTCTAATATTATTACTACCCCTATCATGGTCTGATTTAAAAAACTACTACCAATATCCATCTTATAAACAAACATTTTGGTACACTTAATACCAAAGTACTCACTCTAAAGAAAATAAATAAAAATACATTATTTATTTTATACCCTTGAGTCAGTTTGTTTTATTCCAAAGTTTCCAGTAAAGAAAAATAAGACCACTCATCAACAAAATAAATGATATGTCAGACAGTTACCAACTGCATTAGCATCCTGAACTCTCGGGTCAGTTGCATGCTCCTTAAAAAGGAAGGCAGAGAACCAAGAATTGGTTCTGGTGTTGAGGCCTTGCCTAGTTCAGCATCAGATTCCGATGAACTGACATCATGGCTGCAAAAAAGGAAAAAAAAAATTAATTTACTAGAAGTGTAAAGTTAAAGTGAAGAATTCCTTACTTTTCAAATTTAGGTACAGAGTTTTGAAATAAGAATTAAACTCTATAGATTTATCTTTCCTGAATTTGGTGCTGCTTAACAGTTTATTTGAATATGAAAGAAAGTTTACTAAAAAATGATCCATGTAAATATCAAATGAAGTGTTTCTGTTAAAACAGAATCTATCTTACATATCTATAACTCTAAAATTCAATCTATGCTTAGAATATTGCTGCAACATATAGTCCAGTGCCCCTGCTATTTACCCTGAGCTCCTTGATAAGATCCAAAGAAAAATCAACAATATTATTGGTCCTGATCTGGCAGCTTGGCTTCAGTCACTTTTCCACCACTGTAAGGTTGCCTCTCTGTGCGTTTTCTATAAATACTTTCATGATAATTGTTTGTATCGGCTCTTTGTAAATATGGGGACTAGTTAGTATTTTCATAGAGACAATGAGGTATTATGGTGGATGAAGTAAGAAAGGTACATAAGAATGTGTTGTTTTGGTGTAAGGAATATTGTTTGTATGATTGGGTCAGTGTTTGTGGCTAGCTAAGTTATCGTTAAGACAGAAGATGACCATCTTTTCCCCAATCCTCATTTTTGGCCTTGTGCCATATTTCTGTGTATATATCAGAATAAATATTGCACTTTACTTTGGTACCTAAACTTTTTGAATTTAAGCTCAGTACTAGACTAGCATCGAGATCTCATCAATTTACAGTTGAGCTGGCTAGATGTAGCTGTAAGTTCTATGCTAGCAGTTTCTTTTCTCACACTTCTTGGTTGTGGAACTCCCTTCCATCCCCATGCTTTCCAGCCAACTTTAATTTGCAAAAAATTAATTTCAATGTCAATTGTTATCTACTACCCTCTTGATTACTCTTTTCTCCTTCCGCTCATTATTAATGTTTCTGTTCCTAATTCTTTCATACCCTGTAACCCTGTTGTGGAATAAAGATTACACTCCCGGTCACTCTATGAATTTGTTCAATACTCTAAAAAGTTCCATGGTATGAGCTCATGAGTAGTAGTAGTATTGGTGTCAGTCTTCATACTAACTATGCAGGTGTTATGGCAATAGCCTAAGCATTACATATAGAGAATACTTAACAAATTACATCATACCAAGTACAAGTGTGTTATAACAATAATCATGCAATAGAGAGTTATAATAAACACATTGTGTCTTAGTGGTTTTACTGCCTTGCAGGGGATGATACTGATTTAAAAAAAAACAATCTACAAGTGCACTTACGTGTAACTGTGACTACGGCCAAGTTTGTTTAGAAATGACTCCCCATCAACAAAGTGCCATGTAGAATGTTCAATATTCTAGAAAAGAAAAGAAAATGTTGTCACTTGACTATCTACAAAATTTTTTTTTCTTTTTGACAAAGAATACCTGTTTTTACCTGAAGGAAACAACTAGAGACCTTCTTAATGTCCACAGTAACAATTGTTATAAAGGTACTTTCAGGAAAATAGACTTTGTATCATCTAAGCTAGTGTCATGGATATTGACACAGAAAGAATTAAGAGTAGAAGTGGTCCATTTGTAAAAAGGTTGAGAACCACAGGTAGTTGTGAGAAAAAGCCGCAGAAATAAGATGAAAGAAACAAGAATAAAAAGTAGATAATATTTGTCTATTTAATACAAGATGGTGCTGAAAAGTTCTCAGCCTGACTCACTTCCCAAAATGTAGCAAAAGGATCAAACATTTTTTAAGGGCTTTTTTTCAGAAAATGATAATTGACAATGCTTCATTAAAAAAAAAATGAATACCATTACAAGTAGTGAGTATTTCTTGTTGAATGTGACTTTTAGAATGTTAGTCTCAAAATGCCTTCAGGACATAGGCAATGATGACTGTGAATTGTCATGCATTCTTGAGAAAGGTAAGGGAAGTGTTTCCCATTGCCTTCGATTCACTGTTTTCCTTCCTTTAGACCTGTGGTTCTCAACCTTTTTACAAATGGACCACTTCTACTCTTAATTCTTTTTGGTTGACCCCCATAACCATTCAATGAAATAAAAGTTTATTTTATTTTTTACTAATAAATAAGTTTAGGATTTGTATTATAGAAAAAGTAACTGTACAGTCAGCAGGCAGGCAGTGTAAGTTTCACTGCCTGCTGAGGTGTGTTGCCATTTGTCATGCTTCACTGCACTCACTGAAACTGTTCTTTTTTTGTTACAGTTACTGAATTTTCTTGTTTTTTACCTGTTTGGCATGTACATTCATATAAACTTTTATATTAGAAGTTCATCAGAGAAAAACAGTTATATTAAGAGCTGATCTGAGAAAAAAGTTATATTAAAAGCTGATCAGGGAAAACAGTTATATTAAAAGCTAATTAGAGAAAATGGTTACATTAAAAACTGATCAGACAAAATGGTTATATTAAAAGCTGATCAGAGAAAACAATGTTTATGTTAAAAGCTGATCAGAGAAAACAACGGTTATATTAAAAGCTGATCAGAGAAAATAAAAATTCAGTTATAAACATCAGTGAAAAAATTTCAAAGACACAATGTTACTTGTATTAAGAATTCATTTTTTTGTATTTATTCCTAGCAAAGACAGAAAATAGGAAGGAATTGTCCCACCTGAGTAGTAGTGAGAAGAAGAGATACTTTATGCTGAATGATTTCTGAAGCAGAAAATCTAGGAAATTGCAGCTGCATCAATTGGTTCTGTCGTAAATGTTGTCGAAGAGTGTCCCACAAGTCTTCAAAATGCAAACGTCCAAGGCGATCTTTGGCTGTTTTCTTACCAATCTTAATGCTTGGAAGAACATGATACTGGATTTTGGCCAAAATTTCTGTAGCTTCATTCTGCAATTGCAACAAATAATGTGAGCAGAAATATATTAGGCTACTCAGATGTTTCTTCTGTTTTTGTTACTAAATAGCATTAGGAGCATTTACTTTAACTAACTTCATTCAAAAAGATTGATTTTGACAACATAAAATGAACAAAAAAATTGACTATCAAAATTAGCATATTTTTGTCAGATGGTGCATTTAAAGATGTTCTTTGCAGAGAAAAATAGAAAGTTCTGACAGAATAGGATTATGAAATTGCTTAGAAGAAAGGGGAACAAAATGATAAATATGTTGTTCAATAATGTTGAAAATAACAAAAATAAAGATTTTATTTTTATTTTTACCCAATATATTCAAATGCTAGATTTTTATATAGTGTAACCTATTAATTTATCAATTAGTAAGGCTTGTATCACTAAAAAATTAACTAGAAAAAAAATTCTTTCAATGTAAAAATATTCTCTGGCTTTAAATAACCTGCAAAGTGTTGATAAGCCATAGAAAACAAATTAATCAGTGATGCATCAAATATTTAAGAATATTTATCAGATCTCAAATTCAGCTGGAAAAGAACTGGAATGGATAGTAAAAACATCCTTGTAAAGGTAATAAAGATCAGGATACTTGTCCAAGTAAATGAAATCATCTAATTTGTCTAATAAACACTAAGTTATAAATAAGACTTACTTTTTCATATTGTCCTCTAAACGTGTCTGACGTTGTAAATGGTACCAACAAAAGAATATTCTTAGAAACTCTTCTGCGCATATTCAAATAAGTCGTACCTGCAACAGGAGAAATGAAAAAAAAAAATCACCTAGTTTAATAAAGATAAATGAGAATTCATTTTTGAGAAGAGGATTTATCATTCGTATATGCTTTGCTATTCAGACCAGTATGTTAATCTTTATGCCCACAATACTTCTCTAATATAAACATGTCTGTGCATAAATTTTCTTTTTCAGAAAAATCTTCATGCAAATTTATACAAAGAGATATAAAAATTAATAAAATATTAGTTTTAGCTACCAGGTCAAACCATCACGGCTAGGACCCACCATGCCACTTACATTGTAACAAACCACTCACATTCCTTCTGCATTCCATTGGCAAGAAATAAATTTCACTCAAACAGCTACTTCTCACAAAAAAAACTGCTCTGTGGAACATACTCCCAAGAGGATGTTTCCCAGACTACTACAATCTTAACCTGTTCAAGTCTAGAATTAACCATCATCTTTCCCTCCTACTCCTATTGATATAAACTAGCCCTTAATGTAACCCTCCATCTTGAGTACAGGGTGAACTTTACTGTAAAATATATATATATATATATATATATATATATATATATATGAAAAAATATACTCTTAAGGTGTGCTATATTTATAGGATAAAGTACTCAATATCAGAGATAGAGCATGTGTAAATATAAAAATGAACATTGAAGTCAACACTTAGAAGCAACAGGCTGTTTCATGCCAGACGTAATCGTCAGGCCACCTGATGAAACAGCCTGTCACCTCTAAGTGTTGACTTCAATGTTCACTTTTATATTTATATATATATATATATATATATATATATATATATATTATTGTGGTAGGATCTACCTAATTTGCATAGTGGAGTACCGACCATATAAATATGGTTGGTACCGGGAAGACAGGGGGAAGAATCAAGAGATTCAATCAAGAGACTCTGCCCGACTGCGACTAAGTCAACACATTCTCCAGGAACGGTCTTCCCAAGAATATACAAAAGACTATATGTAAATATAGTGTACAGTTTCTTGTTTCAATACATTTTGTTCTAAGTACATTTTGTGTTGTATTATTATTCCATGCATTAGTCAAGTTTCAACATATATATATATATATATATATATAGTTTATGAAAAACTAGGTAATCTGTATGGGTAAACCTAAGGAGGATAAAATCCAGAGAGCTCAATGTAAATTCAGAGCAAGTAATTTAAATAAAAACAAACCACTTTAAGGTTCCATGTAATAAATTATTTCACCACAGCCCTTTTAAAAGGACTGTGGATCATCAGACTTTACTTCCAAACAAAAAATGAAAATATATATATATATATATATATATATATATATATATATATATATATATTTCTTATCACTCTCTCTCTCTATGTGCCATTTTCATTTTTTGGCTAGTCATGATTCTCTACAGTTTTCCACCTTTAGCTGCTCTCAGTAATACTTTTCCTTTAAGACTTTTGTTCGTTTCTGTGGTACTTGTTTGGCCATCTATTTTGTCTTAAATTTGTCAAATAGGCTACTTGCAGCTTTTTTTCCAGTTTCTTGTGCTTTTGATGTGCCTTGTGAGTGTCAAATTGTCCAAGCCTCATTAAATGCCCCTAAAGGTTCAGTTATCTCTTTCTGATTGTTAATAGCTTTTCAATTCTCTTTAAAACTTCTTCATTTATTAAAATAATAGATAAAATAAAAACTTAATATAAGCAAGAGTTTTTTTAATTTGTTATTCTTTATATTTTATCTCTACTTCTTATTATACTTTATATCTACTTCTTATGCTTTTGTTGTGGAGATGGACACACTTCTCCAGAATATGACTTGGACTCATCCAAATAGTATATATACTGATGCTGAGAATCAGCTAGCCAGGAGTGAGCCTTATGTCCTTACTACAGAATTCAGTAAGACTATGTTGACTCCAAGCAACATTATAATTTATGATAGTTTTATCTTCATTCAATGGAATAAAAATATAACAGTGGCAACAAGGATTCAAATTCACACGAAAAAGAAAAAAAACTTTTTTTTTCTTAGTTAATGACTACTTGTACGAACATAATACACTATTGCAGAATTGAAGATAATTATTCAGCAACAGTAAGAATTCCAAAAGACATTATTAAAACAAATGCAGTAGGAACAGATTGAATATCGATAACAGTTGAATGCAATCCTGGAAAACAAGGAATAGGCAATTATGTCAATATCATTTTTTTCAACTCAGGCTCAATCAATAACTCAGAACATCCCAGAAGAAAACATTACATTCCTATTGTACTTCAGAAGGTAAGAATGTCAAGGATGGTCAGATGAAAAGAAAGTATGTCTTTTGTTACGAAAATTGTGCCCCATTGAACAGGAAAAATATCTGAATTTCATTTTGCCAAATACTCCAGAAAAAGTGTCATTTAATGAAACAGTGTCAATATTATCAAACATTTTTGGTGAAAAGAATTCAATTTTTTTATATACATTGGCAGTGCATGAACTTTACTAAGGGCAAAGATGAAAATTTTGTCACACATTCCACTAAAGTCAACCATGAGTGTGAGAAATTTAAACTGGACAAATTATCCCCAGACAGATTTAAATATTGACTCAAGCAACGATGCAGAAATATGCTCTCGAATCCTTACAAAATATGAACAGAATTCAAAGTTAATGACACAGACCATTGCAGAAGAGTGCCAAAAACTTGGCAATTCAAGGCACAATACAGTGAAAATTGAACAAAATGGCATGTCAGATGTACAAGTAGTTCAAAAAATGACAGTAGTACCAAAAGAAAAAATCCAAAATAAAAATACTGCCAAATGCATTTCAGAAAGGACTGTCTATTTAAAACAAAAAAATGTTTTAATTGTAGAAAAACAGGTCACAAATGAAGCCACTGCAAGTCAAAAAGCAAAAGAAATACAGAAATTAACTTGCTGAAAGTAGTGCTTCAAATAATAGAAAATTCACAATAGTAAAAATGAACACTATGATGAGATTTCAATCGAACACTGGTAATGATATTACAATTATCGATGAACAAACTTGGAATAAAACTGGCAAGCCTAACTTGAAAAATCCAACTAAGTTGCGGGAGAAGTACTGGGTAAGAAATTCATTTTTCTTAGGAAAATTATGCGTAAAGTCGCTCTTGTGGGTAAAACAAAAAAAGTGGGTGTTTATGTATTAAAAAATCCCAACTTGAATTATCCAGGCATCGATTGGCTAAAATTATTTGAACTATGGAATTGGCCAATTAATTCATTCAGTGGAAAAATGAATTTTTCTTCAGAAAAAAAGATTGCAGCAAAAGAAACACTGAGTAAGCTAAAAAATAAATTCACAAATATTTTATCAGAGGAGATGGGAAAATGTATAATGTCAAAGGCATTTTTTAAATTAAAAAAAAATGTGATACCGGTTTTTAAGCTTAAAAGAAAGATACGCTTTGCTGCATTGAAGTCTATTAACACTGAACTTGATAGGTTAGAAACTGCAGATTATTGAAAAAATAGATTATTCAGAATGGGTCATGCTGGTGGTTTATATGAGAAAGAAAAATGTGCAGATTTTTCGAATGGATTGAATGACTGCATCCTACCACATGTATATCCCCTACCAACTCCAGAGAATATATTTGCAAAATTAAATGGTGGTGAATATTTTTTTTAAAATTGACCTGTCTGAGGCATATTTTCAAATTGTAATGGATGAAGAATGCCAGAAGTATTTGACTATTAATACACATAAAGGACTCTACAAGTTTAAAAGATAACCCTTTGATGTAAAAGTAGCCCCAGGTATTTTCCAGCAAATAATGAATACGATGTTGGCTGGACTAGATGGTGTCATTGCTTACACAGAAGACATACTTATTAAGAGCACTACAAAAATACAGGACATGAAACTGATTCAACAAGTATTTCAGAGACTACATGATTACGGTTTCAAACTCAGTGAACAGAAATTCTTTATGGATAATATTAAATATTTACATGAGATAATCAATGAAAAAGAAGTCCAGAACCTGCTAGAGCAAATGCAATTAAAGACATGCCTCCTCTGACAAATTTGGTGACCCTACAATCATTTCTTGGATTAGCAAATTATTATAATATTTATGTGACAGATATGTACAAATTGCGAGCACCTCTGAATAATTTACTTAAGAAGGGTATGAAATGGAATGGGTCGGCAGAATGTCAAAAAGCTTTTGAAGGAATTAAAAAAACTACTAAATTCAGAGTTATGGCTGATATATTACAACCTGCAGTGACAGATATTATAATAGTAGCATTGGACATGAGCGACTATGGTATAGGCCATAAATTCGAAGACAATACAGTGAAAGCAGTCACCCACACCAAGAAGTTTGACAAGTATGGAAAAATACTACAGTCAAATTGAAAAGGAAGCCCTTGCTATAATTTTTGCTGTAAAGAAATTTCACGGGATGATATTAAGGAGAAAATTCATATGGCAAACTGATCATCATCCATTATTAATTATATTCAGTTCTAATAAAGGGATTTCCACACATACTGCAAACATTGAGCTACAATTTTATTGAACTATAATTTCAAGATTGAATTTCTATTGTCAAAATATTGGGACATGCAGATGGCTTGTCCAGACTGATATTGAAATGTAAAGAAGTTTTTCAAGATTCTTTGATTGTTTTGCTGGAATCCGAAAGTGAAACACTAACTATTAAAGAATTACTGGTCATGAGAGATGATATCAAAATTAATTCTAAAAAGGATATGTTTATTCAAAAATAAACTATGAATGACATTAAGTCAAAATGGAAACTTAAACCTAGTAACAATAATACAGCATTTTCTATTTGTGTTGGAGTACTTTTATATGTGGAATGAGTAGTAATTCCATTATCACTACAAAAAAGAATTTTGAAACAATTTGATATAGGACATCCGGGAATAGTGAGGATGAAATCCCTGATGAGAAGCTACATTTATTGGCCAAAGTTGGACAAAGATATTCAAAATATAGTTAGAAAATGTAATGGTTGTAATTCAGCAGCAAAATCTCCACCTATAAATTATCAGGCATGGCTGAGCGCTGATAAATCATGGGCAAGACTACATATGGACTTTGCTGGACCACTAAACAGTTCATACTATTTAATTGTAGTTGACAGCTTCACAAAATGGCCAGAGATATTAAAGTGTAAACGACCTATTATCACAATAATGATTACATTCTTACACAAACTTTTTGCAAGATTTGGAGTACCTGATGGTGTGGTATCTGATAATGGAACTCAATTTAATTCTAGTGAGTTTAAAAATTTCTGCACAAACTGTTATTGAACACTTGTCAATGCCAATTTATAATCCAAGGTTGAAGGGTCAAGCTGAGTGGTTTGTTAACACCTTCAAAAGGGCATTAAAAAAAAGCTAAAGGCTTGGAAGCTGAAGAAATGGAACTACAAGAATTTTTGAGCATATATTGAATGACGCCAAATGCAAACATCACCGTGAAAATGTGATCTGCAGAGCTCATGTTTGCTACGAAAGTTGGATCCATTTTCAACAAATTGCTACCAGGAAATAAAAAGAAAATTTGATATTTTGAAACTATCAGATCATTTAAGATTGGTGATAAAGTCTTTGTTAAAAGCTTTAAGGCTGGAAATGAAAACTGGCAGGTAGGAAAAATTGATCAATGCCTTTGTAGTATGATGTACATTGTAAAGGCATATGCTTTGTGAAAAGAAAACATGAATCAATTGAGGTCTAGATATGCACAGAATAAGCAACCAGTATAATTCAATTCACCAATGGACATACTTTACAATACCTTTGAAGTACCTATTCCTAAAACTAACATTACAATACAATGCCAACGTAAGCAAAAGCAAAATTCAACTGAAACATTGGAAATGGATCAATGTCAATAAAAGTATTGACTAAAGAAACTGTATATCTAAAAGAGGTGCGTGTGTGTGTGTGAAGATGAACACACCTCTCCAGAATATGACTTGGATTCATCCATATAGCATATATAGTGACACTGAGAATCATCAGCAGAACTAGATGGGATTGAGTCTTATATCCCTACTACAGAATTAACTAGACTATGTCAACTCCAAGCAACATTATACTTCATGATTGTCTTATTCTTCATTCTTATCTTCATCTACTTTATATACTTTATATTTACTTATTATTATATGTTATATCGATTTTATATACTTATATACTTTATATCCACTTCTTATATTTACTCCTTTTTATGTAATGCTTACCAACTGAGTTTTAGAGTTTATTTTTATGAAAATCTATTTGAATTTTTAAAAGTTATACACCTACGTCTGGTTCACACTCCTCCCTGGTCTTTTGAACAGGAACAGATGTTCATCCCTTGTTTCCTGTTTAGTATTGGTTTCGAGTGCTTTCTAAAGTTCTTTTCTTTCTCTTTCACTTCCAGTGACCCCTTGCGTCTTGGTGGCATTATCAACTTGCTTGGGGTGGTGCCTCTTACTCTGGAATCCCCTACCTCGAGTGGCTCTTGGGCCTTGTACAGGGTGAACACCATTGTAAACAAAAACACACACACTCATATACACATATAAATAATAGAAAATATTCAATTTTACTCACTGACAAGAAATTCTGCAAAAATTTCTTGCACTTCTGGACTAGCACAGTCATTGCTGAGAGATTCAAATATCTGAAATGAAAAAAAATTTTTTTTTCAAACAAACAATACAAATTTATTTAACCTATTAATACCCATTTAAAACCTAGTTTTAACTAAAAAAAATTAAAATTTGGTATTAATTACAGTAATGGGAGTGCTATGCAAGAAATGAATATATTTTATTTGCATTTCCTTCATTATGGGTATTATTATACCCACAATGTAGTAACACTTTAATACATGGACAGATGAGAATAGCTGAAAGAAAAGGAATGACAAACATTCCTTATACTCAAAGAAATTTTTATACTGCTAAGGTTATGCACAAAATTGTTTGTTCCAAGCAGAGAAACTATAACACATTTATACAACAACAAGCAGTGTGAAAAGGATTTCAAAAAGAGAGAGATACTTACTTGTAATATTTCCTGAATGGAAAACTGGTAGTACAACAGTTTCTCTATGTACCTGGTGAGGTCATGTGGTTTTCCCTGTTAGCCCTTCTAGGCCCTTTGTTACTCTATATCCTGACATCACTTCATGTGATCCTTGTAACTTTATCTCAACCAAAGGAAGATAATCACTTTCTGCATCCCTACAACTGGTTTCTAATAAAATCTGATGTTAATTATAGGTCTCTATCTATAATTCATTAATACTGATCATCCTTAAAACGTGACAGTGGGCATTAATGAGTTAAAGATAATTCTAAGCAAAGTCACCATGATTGTAACATTTTTGTTTTTTTAATAAAAGACATGCATTTCTGAGAATTAATTTTTGTAATGATGAATTATTATTATATTTTTCTATTCAGAGCAGCATGTTTGTCTTGATATAAATATTATTCCAAATAATGCTAAACTAAGATCTATTTAAAGACTGATATTTTATTACTGGAACACTCTAATCAGCAGATATAAATCTACATATCAATTTTTCATTTCTACGATTAGGTATAAAATGTAGATATATATATTGTTATGGTCCAGTTCTTTGTACCATGGTGATAGTCCAAGGTAGAACCAATATAGAAGAACTCGAACACAGGTATGGAATAACACAGATATATTACAAACAGGAATATATATACAGAGAAGTAGAAGTGTTAGTATGAACAATCAGGTTTAGTAGAGAGAACAATGTAGTCTCGACCAGTATCACTATTCCAATGTCTTGCAGTAATAGTCTGAACACGACTCTGTTTCGGACTGCCTCTGACTCGACTTGAACTACTGACTCCTTGCCTACTCCTGAGGCGCAGTATTTATTAAGTATGGAATACTCCATTATTATTATTATTATGGGTAACATATATAATACACAAGCATGATTGTCATTATCAGATTGATATTTCCCATACCATACAAAATACGAAATATTTTTATATAGATGAGAATCAACAACTCTCCAAATGGGGTCTTGTTTTCTGTTAAAATTAGTTTCCATATTTTAACAATATATTTTATGGAAATTGAACTCACCATAATCTAATGAACAACAAACTATCTGTGAAACCATGGTAAAATCCAATTTTTTAAAATATCACATTATCTATAATCTTAGTACTTTGTTATCTTAAATATAACTTAAAACACATAATTACATAAAAATGCAACCAAACAGTAATATCCATCTTGTATTACCTAATTTAATTTTGTTACAGTCACATTTAAAATGTCACTTAATTTCCTTTAAAATGTCACTATTGGATTGATATTGTTTGTAGTATGTGTCTCACCTCAGATCATGAAAGAATATATTTTGCATTCCGGGTGACTTCATAGAGGCCAAGTGATGGGTTGACCTGAGGTAAACTCCTAGCCACTAAGTACAGATACATGTGATCAGCCCAGCTTTATGTGTTTTGCAAGTGTGGGGAAAGAATCACATAATAGAGATAGATAAGATAAAGAACAAATAGGAAACATTTATCATTTTTACTTTTATTAAAACTTAGTCAGAGATTGAAAAAGAAGTGAGAAAAAGGCAGAAGTTCTGGTATTCCTAATTTTGTGTGGTCTGATTTTCATTGGTCAGTCATGTATCACATGCATAATAACCATAGATAATTCTATATGTATGTAAGTTTGAAAAATTCAAATTTGTCTCTGCAGGCATTGGATGATAATGTCTAGTGGGAGAAGATCTTATGTTTTCACTTCTGTGAAGACTGGTTCTGATTGGTCAGTCGTGTATGTCCAGTAGACAACATGCCTGTTGCTGTAGTTAGATAGATATATAAACACCCACCACAGCAGTAAAAGGTGGAGTCTCTTTCAGATGTTAAATATGAAAATATAAGGTCAATGTTCTAATAGGGGCCTGGAGTTTCACCACACACTGGCCAATAGTAACTGATGAAGTCCAGAGTTTAATAAAATGTATTATGTTCCACATTTTCATTAGACATGACAACGATATTATTACTTTCATACAATATTAATTTTCAAAATTTTAAATATATATGAAAGAGGATAAGTCTCAGATTAAGATTCTAAATAATGTTTTATCAGATAAAATAAACTTCCATATTTTAAAACAATACACTGCAGAAATTCAACTAATAACTATAAACACAGAATTAGATGTTTCACTAGCACTTTTATCAATCTTCACATAAAACTTGATGTTAATTTCCTGCTTCAGATTCCTTTCACTCATTCTCTGCCAATAGCATAACATGAACACATACAACTTCCTTTATTGCTCTGCAACAAATGATTCATCTACTTTGCTTCATAAGAAAATGGAAGTTGGAACATGTTTGGGCATGAAAAGGTGCACCTGACTCATTAGCCTAGCAACATGTTGCAGTTATTAAAGCAATTAAATTGTTACCCCTTTTATACAAATTTATGCAATCAAAACTTAGTGTAAATAAAACTGTCTTTCCATAAGGTTTTTAATTCAATTATGTTATTTCATATGCTGATATTTATCTTGTGATTTTGGTAAGAAATAAAATCCCTTCTGAAAATGAACACATTCAGCAAATTTTTAAAACTTTTAGTGATAAAGAATAAGAAAACAGTATTTGTTACCTTCTTGGTGACATTGTAGTCTCTTTCATGCAAGATAGCATAATGAAAAATGGCCATTCTTGTTGTGGACAAATAGCAACTACTGAAAAGATCCACAAGTTTTTCTTTGTTCAGTTTCACTTTGTACAGTAACTGCTTCTTCCGATCATAAAGTGTCCAACCTAAAAAAAGAAAACAAAATTAAAAAAAATCATTGTATATTGTTGTTGTGGTAAACCCTCTACAGTATAATGAACTCTTCCTTCTCTCATAAATACAAACTGCGAGATTTGGATACCAGAGCGCAGAACGCTGAGCAGTATACGCAGTGCTAATCTACTTATTATTAACACTATTGTTTTGTATATATCTTCAATATACTTTTTCAACCTACCTTCATCTTCCATGTCTTTCTTTCTGGCCCCTAAACAGGCCACAACAATTGTGTAATTACATTCTCTAAATATGTTATATTCTGTCCACTACACTACTAATACCTCTTAAGGACTCTATAGTTGTCTCCTCTTGACAACAAAAGATAGATCACCATCTTGAAATTGCGTGTGTAGTATTTGTTAATGAATAAAAACTTTACAATAAAAGTATCTTCGTCTTCAGTCTGTCACAATAAAGATCACAAGTGATATAATGGAATATGCATACACCTGTGTTCCCCCTCACTGGAATAAAATTGGCTGGTGTCTGTCATAAATACAGATGGATGTGTAGGTATGACAGAGTTTAAGTCTATGACGATGCCCATTGGACTATGCCATTAGCTATCCTATTGGTCTACACCTATTACTTGCGACTACGACGAGTACCAGTAGATTACTTCTACTGTGTACTACTTGGTTACAGTAGCCAAACCCACTTAGCTACTTCGATCAAACATATCCCTTTCTGGGACATATCAATAAGAAAATCACCTGCATATGGATAGAAAATGAAGTAGGTGCAAAAAAATAGAAAAAGAAATAAGTCAAGAATGTGTCTTCTAATCAGATTTATTCAACCTCTACAGCAAGGCTATCCTAAGGCATCTGGAGACCCTACCAGGATTTATTATTGATGGGTACAATATTAACAATACAAGATACCCAGATGATACCAGGTTGATAACTGACACAAAAAGAAAACTACAGGACCTCCTGGACAAGATAGTAAAGCAAAATGAGAAGAAAGGACTAATCATCAACCATAAGAAAACAGAATGTATGGTTGTCAGCAAGAGAAAAAGAAAAGAGTATTAAACTGTTATGCAATATCAGTGTTCCTGTGGCACTGAATGATGAACAATCTCCTCACAGTTGAAGAAGAGATATGATGTAACAGAAATGTGGTTCTACAGAAGGATACTGAGAATCCTATGGACTGAACATGTGATTTACAAGAAAGTTGTATGAAAAATGGAAACAAAAAGGACACTTATACTTAGAATCTGAAAGAGACAATTGAAATTACTTAGGCACGTAATGAGGAAAGAGAGCTTGGAGAATTTGATACTCAGAAGACATATCAAAGGAAAAAGAGACAGAGGAAAGCAGCAGGACACCTACCAGACAAGCTTGTGTGGATGGATGGCATAATGGATGTGATAGTCTTGGCAAAGAGACAAACATTCCTAAGGGCTACAAGGGATAGGAGCTCATGGAGAGCTGTGATCATCCACTTCCTGAAGGGATACAGTACATAGAAGGACTATTTCTTCAAACCCATACAATAACATATAAACAGCTTGGATGAAAAATTTGTAACCAAAGGTAAAAGTAGTTTGAATAAAGCCTATTGTTTTTATAAATAAGCTGAAGTCCAAAATCAATCTTGTAATTAATTAATATTTAAGACTGAATTGACAAAAAAGAAAAGAAGCTTGCTAATAATTTTTTATTATTAGAAAAAATAAATTAATTATAATGATATTAAAATATTTTAATTATATTTTGAAGCTAATCAAGAGAACTGTGGAAGTTTGACAGGGCAAAAATTTGGCTTTGTAAAAATATTCAACTCATCTGCAAAGAATAAAGTACAAATCCAATATATTTATATTCCAGAAATTGTTGAGGTGTTTTACAAAAATCATTTCCTTTTTTTAAGTCCCATTTCTTTGTAAGAAGACAGTTGTATGATGGCAAATATCAGTAGACACAGGAAGATTTTTTAATGACTTCTCTTACTACTTCTGTACAGACTTTCACTCTGATTGCTACTCGAACTGATTAATTGATATGTTCTCTTTTATCTATACCTGGGACATGGACATAGTAGTAGACAAAATGCATGCAAATATTTAACAGAAAAATGTACAACTCTATTTGAATGTGTTCTACTTGGCAAATATAAAATTTCTAATAATCAAATAAATTGTTAGAGGTACAAAAACGTAATATTGCAAGGAAAAGATATAATTTGTTTCTTATAGGTATTGTGAAATATGAAAATAAAAATAAGAAATGAAAACACATACAAGACAGACCAACCGGTTTCGTTCCCAAGCTCATCAGGGTCGACTGGGAACAGATTAATAATTTATTGCAAAGATACATTTACTCCCACAAACACCCTACATACAATTAAAACATTAAAAATTGAAATGATTAATAGTATGAGGGAAGACCAGAATCAAAGCAATGAGAATTTGCACAGCAAAAAGAAGGGGAAAAAAAGGCGGGGGATGTATGATTCACAGACACTAGAGTCTAATATAGTGAAGTCAAAGGAGACAGTCTTTTTGCTTACAAAGAGACGGCTTCCTTTCTAATAATTATATACACTTAGTATCTGAAAATTTGCATATTAAGAATTTGATATATGTTTTAAATGGTATGTAATTTTGTCTTTCTTCATAAATTTTAAGCTAATTAAATTTTAAACTTGTACCTATTCAGCAGGGATATTGTATTTTATTTTTTTAATAAAAAAGAGTTTTATATTTATATATTCTAATAATGTATCTGCTGTAATTTGAATCTGTTAAATTTGTTCATTTTACCAAAATTTAATTTATACAGATTTTCAAAGTTTTTCTTCACAAACACAACAGAACAATTACAGGACAGTGCTACCTTGTATTTTTGCAAGTTTAAATTGCTATCTTTATAACCAATTACAATGGACACTCCAAAATTAATGGCTTCTATATATTTCCATTGTGCTGTGGTGTAATAGATATCAGCTTGGAGTGAGAACTCCAAGTTCAAATTCCAGTGCATTAGATTCACTTACACACAAATACCCTTGGGATAGGTATGAATCCATGTCTTCTTCCCCCCAACTATAGGTTGAATAGCATGACAGACTGGGTTCTTCAGTCTACCGCAGAAAGAAATAGCAACCTACTGCAGGAAAATAACTGCCTCATCAGTCATGTATAGAAGGATACATGATCGCCCAAATGTGTATCGCGAATAGCACTTAAATCACTGACTGATATATTTCCACAGAAACTACAATAGATACATGAAGTATCATAATGCCATTGGCTAGAGAAAGTTTTCAGTTTTGCATTTTTTGCCAGGAGCAAAAGCAATCCATTTTTTTATATAGAACACTGTCAACAACATGTTGAAATGCATTCCCTGCTACTTAACTGTGCTTGCATTCACTGTTTGGTATCCGTAAGCATTCAGCAAGCATCGATGAATGCCAATGAGTGAAATTCTTTCTATATGGAGGAATTCAAAAACACATCTCTGTTTTGATATTTACTTTTATGTCAGATGTAATTTTGCCAGACAACAATTAAAAAATGTTGCGTATGTTTAATTATGAAAATAGGAAGTGAACAACAGCAAAGTTGATTATCTGCTAATGGAAGTCATTTGGCCAAAAACACAACACTTCCTTGCAGCTGACTAAATTTTATTTTCATACTACTGTTCACCCAATACAAGGCCCAAGAGTCACTCAAGGTAGAGGGTTATTGAATGAGGTTGTTGCAAGGTCATACAAAGAAGGAGTAAGCAGTGCATAATATGAGAATATGTAGGATAGATAATTGTTTACTCTAGACTTAAAGAGGTTAAGATCATAGTGATCAGAGAAGCATCATTTCAGGAGTCTGTTCCACAATGTAAAATTCCTGGGAAATAAGCTTTCTGACAAACTTCTTCCTTACCAATGGAAAAAAATGAGGATGAGTTGACTGTGTGTGTAGCATGGTGGGTCCTCACTGTGAAGGTCTGAACTGGTGGAACTAAGGAATGTAGCTTGTCTAAACATCTGCCATTACTAAATGTAATAGTGTACAAATTAAAAAATGTGTATATGGCACAATTGAAACCTAATTCTGAGTAGTATTTAAAAATTTTATTTGGGTACACACATGCACATTATATATTTTTTTACATTATCTAAATCTTTGAAAAACATAGACTTTGTTCTTTTGGGGCATGTGAAGCAATATGCTTATTTATTTAACAAACAAGAGGTGAAATTATGAAGTATTTTTTTAAAAATTATTTCACCCTAAGCAAGGCAATAAAGCCACTAAGATGCAATGGGTTATTGAGTTTGAAAGAAAAAGAAAAATATTATTAAGGAGAGAGAACAATAAAAGAACAGGTATTTGCTTTTAAATTTTGAAGATCAAAATTGATTGGAAAGCATTGGGAAAGATTTCCACAAGCAAAAAGTATGAGAGAAGAAACTGTTATATAAAACTTACAGTTACATCCTATCATTTTAAGTGTAAAATACTGAGACCTAGCTGCCAATCTAGTTCTGTGCTTAAATTTGTAAAGTCAAAGTACCAAAGAGAAAAGCTCATCAGAACAATTATCATAAAAATATTTATAGAAAAGGCACAGAGAAGCTACATTTTTAATGTTCTGAATATCAGCAATAAATACATTCTGGAAAATGTTCATCAACAGAGTGAAAATTCTGGGTTATTTGCCAATAGATTCTTTTTTTTTTAAGTTTTAAGATTTAATCTAAAACAGGAAAGCCAACCTTTTCCCCTTCTTTAGGTCTGGTGTTTAAAAGTACATAAAATGAAAACTTACCAGATATACACATTCCTTTGCAGTAGTGACTCATTAGTTGGAGTTTTTTATTGTTTGAATGTAAAAGGGAGAGCTCATCTTCCTTCAAAAGAGGAACTGATGGCGATTCCTGAACTTCAATTTCTGATATCATATTCGTGCTCTTTGAGGAAATAACTGGGCAAACCTCACCAATCAAAGATTCTTCTGTGTATGCAAAAAAAAAAAATTAACAAAAGCAAGATTATTAAGAATAAAAAAAGGAATAATTTTTCTGTGTACCACTGTTGTAATCTGTTTTGATATAATTGCAATAAATACTTCCACTGGATACCGTGAGCAAAATTCATTAAGTCACTATCTAGCATTGTCTACTTCTATAGCTACAGTTATACCAACAAGAATTGAATTTTTTCTTATGAAAAACTCATTGCCAGATGATGACTTATATAATAATCTTTTAAATCTTTTAAATTTATTCATTGTTAGTTTATGAAAGACTTTCTGAAAGAAGTTTAAATTTTCTTAATGATTTTTACAAAATAATTAAATAAAATAAAAATAAATTAATTTTCAGTGTCTACAGCCTTGAGAAGAGCCATTAACATAATAAACATTTTTTTCTTATTACAATAAACATTTTTAGTAGGTACACGTATTTGAGTTGCTATTCCTGATTTTTTATTTTCTTAAACAGTGAAATAAATAACAACCAGACTAGAGTTTGGGTTTATTTTGTTTTATGGCATATCAACCTCAATGGGTTACTTAATTCTGGGTTTGTAGAAAGTTTGATTTCATTGATGTATTCTTTCCAGAAATACAGTTTGTAAAGAAGTTGGTTTTATTGTCATTCTTATTTGGTCTGTATTTTTTGGTATAGACCCACTGTTTTAAGAAATAATATCATGCCATCCATTTTTGCTTTTTTGAAGCATGTTGTTTATATTATAGTATTTTTGTCTTGAGAGAGCAAGGTCTGAACTGTCAGTTAATATATGTTTAATAGTGTATGTCATTTCACATGCTTGGCATACTGGCTGATCTTCCTTGTTTAGCAAGTATGAATGGGTTATTCTCATCTGGCCAATGCGTAAGTGGGCCAGTACTATTTTTTCCTTTAGAGATTTTCTGAAAACCGACTTCCATTCTTCTAGTTTAGGCTGAATTGTGAAGAATTTATTGAGTTGGTTATACTCTCAGCACCTTTGCCATTCTTTTTGAATATTGTTAATAAACTCCTTAACAACCAGCCTAGATTGAGAAGTCCTACTAAAAAAATATTGCGATAGGAATCAAACCTGAACCCTTTTTTCCATCAGAGAAAATAGCTCTATAGCTGAAACATGCTGTTACCAGTTTGCCTTGTAAACTACGTTGACTGAGCAAGGTTTCAATTACCTATTTAGGGAATGCACATTTCTTATTCATATTTCTATGAATCAAAACAATTACTGTTGTTTATGTTTGGGGCCAAAAAGCTGAAGCTAGCATATATAGATTTCTACAACCTCTTAACATCATATTTAACATTTACTTCAGTGAATTGGAAAATGTATCAATTTGTAGTCGTACCTCTTTAAATACTAACCTATATTCATACCTATGACTATTAGTGCAATATTTTGTTATTAATCTCAAATATTTAATGAGGTAATAGTGAAATTTCCATAATGGAACTAGCAAGGAACTTATTTGTTCATTGCCTTAAAAATCTTGGTGTGTAGACCTCTGTCTGACTTTTCAGGACTGGATGAGGAATTATCATTATTTACACTTCAGCTTTCATCATGTGTATGTCAATTCAGGTAAACTACAGGATAGATTGTGTGGAATGTGACAGAAATAAAGACCAAGACAGTCAAGCACCAAATGACAAGAAAATGGTTTCTGAGTTACAGGATCATATATTCTTCCAGTTAGTAAATTAATACCTTGCAAATTTTTTCTAAGCTCTATACTAAACATTAAATCTGTTATGAAAAAAGAACTAAACAAAATGAACACAAATCGATCAGCTTTAAAAAAGGACTCATAACTGGAAAAACCGAATGAAAAAAAGAATGTTAACAACAAATACTTTTTCACACCCAACCCAGTTCTGCAGAATCAGAATCAACATTGAGTTTAAGCAAGCGAATGAGCCAATTGGAGTAAAGTGCCATGCAGATTTAAATTTTTCCCACTTGTGACGAATGCAGCTATCGATTTTTTTTACATGCTAGCATGCTAGTTAACATTCATGTCAGTCAGCTGTTGGCTCTCATGCTGGCCAATAGAATCTTCCTGCCTATTCGTGGCAGCCAGCTATTGGCTCTCACTCTGGCCAGTACAAAATGGCTGCAAACTACATGAAAACTGCCGTAGAAGCATGAAAATTGATTATTTCCACTATCGATGGGAGTTGGGAAATGCAAAGTCAGTCTTGGCCTTCCCACTAACTTGGAGCATGTGCATATAAATTTTGGTGCAAATCTGTTGAAAATTGCGGCCGTGCATTCGTTAACACATGCACACACACATCCTGCCTTTTATAGATAGAGATAAACACAAAAATAAAAATATCTTATATATATTTTTATATTTAAGCACCTTTTTCTTTTTTCTTTGTTTTGGTTTGATTCAAATCAACCACAACTGTATCTTGTTCCACAGTAGATATCTAGGGATACCTAGTTCTTATTTTTAGTACTGCTCAGTTACTGAGCACCCTGTTTCCTCTGAGTCCATGTACACACCGCCCAGCCCAGGGATTGAACTTAGCAAATTCATAAACCAATGCTTTAATCATCTAGGCTATTGGGAAAATTCTCTAGAGACCTTGGAACCTTAAACCTAACCTGCCTGCCGGTGAGTGCTTCTGCTTGTCATGCTTGAGTGCACTCACTGAAGATATCTCTCTTTGTGACAGCTGCTGCTGTCATTTTTTTATTTATTTATGTAAGGCTTTCATATTTCTATGCTAGGTCTACTAAAGATGTCCACATAGCCTAGCATATGTGCTGATTGTATCCCTAAACATGGGCAGTGGAATGAGAACAGTCTATCCACAGAGATTAAATAAAGGGTTCTGTCTGTAGGTTACCCAGATCGATATACACCTGATGAAGACCAAAGGGCTCAATAGCCAAAATGTGGTAACAACAAAGATGAGAACAATTGTCCAAATGTAAATAGTGTAAATAATGGGTGTTTAAATTATTATCAAAGTTGAAAGAGTAGCAGGCATTATCTTTAAATGGAAATGGTGCTGATCTTAATAACAGGTGATAATATTTTTCCCTATTTTACAGGATGGATATCAAAATAGATATGGTTACTTTACTTTAGCATTTTATTTTTTAGATTAAAGTGCAACCAATATAAAAAGGAATTAACTGATAGTGTCAAGCAGAATAACAAAATCATATAATAAAAAAATTACATCATTGCTTACCATGTAATAAAATGTGATTGCATGGTTCATACTCAATACTGGCATTCAGCATATGAGTGAAAAATCCTGGAAGGCAGACCACAAGATAGCCATCTGTAAAAATGAATTTTTTCAAATAGGTCAGTACTCTTCCAAACAATGACACATACTAATAATATCAGTAAAATATATTTGCTGTTTTATAGTAGTTTTCAAAATATAGTACACTTTTTATGATGATACTTATGTATATCAAACTTAAAACATTTTATACTTAAGTACAAAGCAAGTGCAAGGGTCCTGTGGCTTTCCCCAGAATTTATGATATATCTCCCCCTACTGCATCTCAATTTTCATAAGGTAGTATTCATATAAAATACAAATTTTATTGTAATCTAATTATGTACAATAATGGATCATATGCAAAATAGATGAACAATTCAACTAAAAAAATTGAAAATAAATACAATGTATCTAAATACAAATTAGAGACATATCATAATGGATTGTTCTTTCTTAAATAAATCAACAATGTTTTGCAACAATTTTTAACATCAACTTGAGATTTTTTTGTTAAAAAGTTAATTACTTTGACACAGTCAATATTTTGGATATAAAAATAGTGAATTTTTATAGCATTTTTTCAAGACTTAGCATGAGCAAAACCCAGAATGGCATCAAAATCTGTGAAAATTTTTCATCCTTTAATATTCGCTTGTGCTTATTTTAATTTATAATGTATATAAATGTAGGTAGAAAAAAGCAGATGTTGATAAGACAGCGAGGGTCACAAAGCACTGCCCAGGGCCCCCAATCAGGGTTGTCCTTACATTGGGGGACTTGAGGGTAGTACACACCGGCTCTGCTTAAGTATTATATACAATTAAATTTTCTTTGTTTTCAAGTGCTATATGCATCCATAAATATAAACTTGCAAAAATAAATTCAAAAATAAACCATTGTTATTAACAACTTTAAAGCCACCCTTCAAGAAGGTTTATAATCTAGATCCTATGGAAGGTTTAAATGAAGCTTTGGCATCAACAAGAGATCATGAATTTGAACTATGCATTTATTAAATCATACATTATTTGAAAATTAGCACCATCATGAACTCTTGGATCATATTCAATTAAAATATCAGGGGAAATTTCAAAAAAGTTTTCAAGTACCTACATTTCTTTCGTAAATCTATATTAGGGAGATATTTTTATCACAGTAATGAATACAAACATGAGACTAAACTATGTTTGAAGATTTGTAAGTTAATAAACACTGTTGAGAGTTTAATGTTCATGGTGGCCAAGGTTTGTATTACAAATGCAAACACAAGAATATGTTGTTTTTTTTAAGTTTTGATTTTCTTGTAATTAGAAAAATGCCATAGGAAAAAAAAATGGACAACTTTGAGTTCTGGCTAGGAAATTTTAAGCTCCATGTCTGCTTTAAATGGTCAAATAAAAGATAAAAAGCTAACATGATGGACACAAAGTAAATGTCTAGATTCACATTAAACTTATAAGTTGAGATGCCTCACTAAAATCTTTTAAAAATTTGGAATTATCAAAAAGTAATATGCTAAAAACATACTTCACGATCTGATTGTTAACAATAGAAAACTGAGTGGCTATCACTCTAGCTGTCTTCAGTTACAGAAATGGGCAAAAAACATTTAGTAAATTATAGTAAGATATAAACATTGACACTATTAGTACTTTGACAGTAGTATGGATTCTAAAGACATTTTCTGTAAGTATATATTCTCTACTACATCCAAAAAGGTGATTTTAAAAAATACTCACTGTACCAAGTGAAAATTAGTCTACGATATGTGGCTTCATAAGGAACCTTGAAAACCGTTCCCTGGAGAGTATGGACTGAAATAACAAAACTGAATTAAAATAAATGGAAAAAAAAACGTAAAAGAAATTATTTTAGAAATATCAGTAGCAAATTGGTGAAGATGAACTTAAGCACATTCAGTAGCAGTGGTTTGTTCACTGAGCATATATGGGGTGATCCCTATAATATTAGGTCAAAATGTAAACATTCAACACAACCCTTGTCCAAGCTCTCTACTGATCCATGTTGCATTTCAATCCTCAATCTCAGCAGTATTCACTCAATGCTTGGAAAGAACATGATGCATGTTCACAAGGTGATATAATGAAAGACAAATGCACAAAGAGAAATAAGAACGAGACTCCTGTTTCCCATATTATATGTAGGTGTTTTATTTGGGCTTCACCTGCTCATCCAGGTAGGTAGGTAGGTGATACTTGGGACAATTTCTGCTATGTCAGCTCTTCCCCCAACCAACTCCTCACCCATCTAGTCATCCCAACATTGTGAATAGTAATACACAATGAAGGCTTCAGAATCACTCAATGGACATGTCCATCTCCCACCAAGGACAGACCAGAATTCCAATTCCAAGCATGGCTGTTAATATAGATCAGCACCTGGATATACCTTATTTCTGGTTCTGTTGTTATTTGATCTCAAAAAATCATTCATAAACTCTTTTACTTCCACATTACTCCTCAGTCAAAGTGGATGCTGCTTAGAAGACCAAACTTCAAATGGAATCATCCACTGGTTTATCAAACAGAAACACTTGAGATGGAGATAAAACAAATTTTTCCCTTTCTACATGGATGTCCATAATACCAGAAACATCTAGTAAAGTCTTAAACAAAGTGATGAGAACAGTGACTCACTTAACATGAGAACAGAATCTAACTAATTATTTCTTTTTTTAAATGTTTCACCCCAAGCAAAACAATAATGCCACTAGGATGAAGGAGGTTACATCCAATGAAAGCGTTGTTGTCTGTTTCGTTGAATTGTAGATGGATAATTCACTTTGTGCTTCTTCCAGCCAGTAAAACAATAGAATGCAAATAATGTGAAGAAGTATTGTGACCAACTAAGCAATCTCAATGTGGCTATTAAAAAAAACACTATTATCAAATTGAAAAGAAGTCTTTTCCACAAGACCACATGTTACAAAACAGACCTTGCAGAAACTTAAAGAATTGAAATGGTAAACCCAACCAACACTCACTGTATTCACCTGACTTGGCACCTTCAGATTTTATTTTTATTGCAGAACAATTTAAATAACAAAAAATTTGAATGTATACAGTCAGCTGAAAACTACCTCATAACTGTCTTCCAACAAAAAATCTGAAGTTTCTACAAAAATGGCATCAAGAAGCTTGTAAAATGTTATATAGAAATAAAGTGTCACTGCTAACACTGGAGTTTGAACACAGATTGCCAGAGAGCAAACACCGTGATCCCATTTTGAATATGTAGACCATGTGATCACAAAAGAAATATATATAAATATGGGAATTAGCATGGCATCAAATTGATTACCATTTCTATTTTATCCTCTATTACTATATGGATCATTATTTCTAATCTATCCTCTATTACTATACAGATCGCTAATCTCTATACTATTCTCTATATTGACAACACAAGACCACATATGGCAAAACAGACCTTGCAGAAACTTAAAGAGCTGAAATGGTAAACCCAACAAACACTCACTGTATTCACCTGACTTGGCACCTTCAGATTTTTATTTATTCTTGTCTTTGCAGAACAATTTAAATGACAAAAAATTTGAATGTATACAGTCAGTTGAAAATTACCTCATAACCGTCTTCCAACAAAAAATCTGAAGTTTCTACAAAAATGGCATCAGCAAGCTTGTAGAACAATGGGAGACAGTTGCTAAAAACAATGGAGTCTATGTACTTAACTAAATGTTTTATCTGTATCTATAAATGGCATTCCGTTAGTGCATCTGTGTGTTTGTCACCTTGTTACCTCATCCTGAGTAAACTGTTCATCCAATTGGCATGAAAATTCACACACAGATCGGAAATTTATGGCATTCGTACTTGACGTCTTCAGATTTTTCAATTGTTCCTCTGATTTTGGAAAAAAATCGATAAAACCAATAGGGAGTCAAATATTGATTAAAAAAAAATTCATCAGTTTTTCAGTGATAGTTTTCACAAATTACAAGTGATATGCACCAAACTCACATTAAGCAATGTCCTTACTTATAGTTTTGAAGTGCTGTTCTTAGTTTTTAAAAATTGATATCAGTTATCGGAAAAAATCGATAAAATCAATCACTTTGGGACATCCAATTCAAATCCAATGTACCTGATTTTTGGTTCCATTTTTCGCAAACCACAAGGAATTTTCATGAAAATCATGTTGAGCATTAGTTTTATCAACAGTTATTAGTTGCTGACTTTTTTCTTCAATATCAGTATCAATTATCAGAAAAAATTGATAACATCATGCCACTTTTGACTTCCAATTCAAATCCAGTCAAGTTGATTTTTGGCTATATTTTTCGCAAATGGCTAAGAATTTCCAACAAAATTATGTTGACCATTGTTTTTATCAACAGTTATGAGGTGCTGACATTCATTTTCAATATTGATATCAGTTACTGGAAAAAATCGATACAGTTGATCACATTGGGACATTCGATTCAAGTCCAGTCTAGCTGATTTTTGGCTATATTTTTTGCAAATGGCGAAGAATTTTCAGCAAAATTACCATTGAGTATAGTATTTACTGACAGTATTGAGGTGCTGACTTTTGTTTTCAATATCAGTTTCAATTATCAGATAAAAATCAATGAAATCATACTCCTTTTGACTTCCCATTCAAATTAAGTTTACCTGAATTTGGCAATGTTTTTCGCAACTTGCTTGGGATTTTGATTAACTTTATCAGCTTTAGTCGTGTCAATTAAAAACTTTTGCCCTGTGAGCTCCTTTGTTTCCAACTAATACATTTGAACCTGCTGTGCCCAGCTGTGGGACGATGGTCTCACTTCTGCTCCTGTTACGCTGCCATCCGGTTGATATGATAGGCTCCTTCAACTTATCATTTCTCCTATCACAAGTTGTTTCTTACGTTTTTATTTTCCGTTTATCTGTTTAACTACATTTTTCCAACTACCAATTTATTCAGCTGTTTTACTTAAATACCTGCCTTCCCGATTCTGGCTCATGCTTTGCGATACTAAGTTAGACTTTGTACTCCTGCAATTGAGCAACCCTAATCAACCACTACTAGCATCCCTTTTCCCCATGCTGACAAAAAGGAGGGTTATGTCTTAGCCTTCGGTCTGCAAGAGTGTCCACTATGAGGGCAAAAAGACAATGTGACTATCTCAGGTTGCTCAACGCAGCGCTCTCACACAGGCCTCACAGTCACAAGAGGAGCATGCCACCTGCTTGGCTGGGAAAGCTTCCTACAGGGCTTCATTGCGATCAAGGCTCAAGAATGCAATATGGTCGAGAATGAACGCACAGGCTGCAGCAACTGCCTCTACATCTTGGGCTTCCAAGACTCATCATCAAAGGCTTTTTCGTAACGTGAGAAACGCTACTGCCACTGCGAAATCAAGGGCAATAGAGACACTTGAACACAGGCACACCTATCAATCTGGGGACGTTGCTGCAATAGCGAGCGCTAGGGCTGCTGAAACAGCGTTCTGTAGGTCAGTGTGAAATGCTACGAATGCTGCCACCACTGCCAGGTCAAGGGTAGCTGAAACATTCAACCACAGACGTGCCCGTCAATCCAGGGATGCTGCTAAGACACCGCTCCATAGATCTGTTTGAAATGCTAGGAATGCTGCCACCACTGCCAGGTCAAGGGCAGCTGAAACATTTGACGGCAGACACGCCCGTCAATCCAGGGACACTGCTGCAACAGCTAGGTCGAGGGAGTCCGAGAGAGCTGCAGTGGGCATCGCTGCAGCGACTTTTGCTGCTAGAAACTCCTGGGGCCCACAGGCAAGAGCAAACAGACTTTCAAGGGCTGCTACAAACATGGCCACTGTGCACTTATCTCAAACTCTCCAAGCTTGCCACATACGCCTCGATGGCGACATTCAGCGCCTTGCGGCCGCCCGTGATATTACCTGTCCCAGTAGTTCTTTTTGGTCTTTCTTGGCTTTCAATTATGACCTCGGCATTAATTTAAGTACGCATGATGACATCAATATAGGGTCCATGACCTGCGTTTGTCAATTCTGCAATGCCCACAAAAGAGCCAGGGAACCTGCTGGTCTGTGCTGTTCCTCCAGCAAAGTTCGACTGCCACCTCTGCATGAACCACCTACTCTGCTGAGGGGACTAATAGCCGGCTCCCATCCTGACTCCAACCACTTCCTTAAAACAATTAGGCAATACAACAACAACTTTCAAATGACCTCATTTGGGGCTCAGGTGGTTCGAGAAGAGGGTTGGATGCTTACTTTCAAAGTACAGGGGCAGGTATAACACCACATTGGGTCTCTGTTGCCTGAGGAAAACTCTACGCCTAAATTCCTTCAACTGTACTTTATTGCAGATTAGAACCTACAGGCCGAAACCCAGATTGGTATTTTGCCACTGTCAGGAAGAGTTCCTTGCAGGGACGTCATACTACTACTTCAGGCCATGCCTCACGAGGTTAACAGCTACATTCACAGTTTCAAATATGCTTTGGAAAATGCTCCCTTTCCTTCCTTCAGCATTGTAATTGACGCCGACAAACAGCCTCATGATGAACACGAACGCCACTACAATGCTCCTGTGTGCAACAAAGTGGCCGCTATTATACATAGGGAGTAAGACTGACTCATGATAATGTTCTCAAATCAAGAGGCAGCGCGCTTCGCTGGATTTCAGAGACCCATCGATCATATGACGCATTGCAGTACTCTTTACTTTTTCCTTATGGTGACGATGGCTTCCACTTCGGCATTCCCCTTCATACTCTGGATGGACAACCTACAATGTGTTCCAAAGCCTTATTATGCTAGGCCTTCTATTCATACTGTTTCATGGTTAGGGATGGAGACTTCAACCTGCTTCATAGATGCAGGGAGCTTTTCGGTTTGCGATTGACATGGCCGCTAAGATGGAATCGGAGAGGCTTTGTTTTATATGGAATCATCAGAAACAGCTGAGTTCAGACTCCTATGTACACTTACGCGACAGCCTTCAAAATGAAATCAATCCCCATGACCTAGGGAAGCTGTGCATTCTGCCCTCTACCTACACGGGGGGGGGCGTGTTACATGCATGAACGCACGCAGGACACTATGACATATGTTAGGCAATATGGGCAGCCAGACTTATTTATAACGTTTACCTGCAACCCCAAATGGGCTGAGATAATGCGTGAACTCCTACCCGGACATGATTACACTCACAGACATGACATTACCGCTGCGTATTCCGCTTAAAACTGGGAAAACTTATGAACTTAATAGTGAAGGGGCGAGTCCTACAGTGAAAACACAACCACTATTTTACTTTGCCAGAATTAAAAATCTTGACCGATTATGAACGGGTGGCAGTCTCCAGGTAAGTACGGAGCAGCAACACAGCAGCCACCTATTGCAACCAGTTGCCCTTGATCTCATTGATTTTGCTACCAGTAAGATTCCCGGTCTACCAGTGACCTCAACAACTGCGGATCAACTGTGTAAGTTCAATAATTCAAACCCCAAAGCAATTTAACTACATAAAACCCTGAGCAACGCCGGGCTCTACTGCTGGTGTGTGTATAAAAAAATTTTTGTTTTTCTGTTTGGGCAAAAACTTTTGCAATGATCTAATAGATATTTTGTTATGTCTTAATTATTATTAAAAGGTTTTTACATGTGAGCCATCAAAATTCATATTTTTTACTATTGTCTAAAGTTTTGAAAAGCATCATTAACATTATTTGGATGCAGAAATCTCTTTCATCATTCATTGCTGTTGTTGTTAACACAACATTCTAGCCAATTCACTCTTCAAACCTTACTCCATGTGAGAAAAAAAGGAACATCTTTGTTCAAGAAAACCAACAGGTGACAGAAATTGTTACTTTTCTTCAACAAAGAAATTTAATTTTTTTCCCAGATTACACCTGATGAGGGTTGAAGAGTGGATCAGTCAAAACATTGTGTAAACAACAGCAAATATATAAAGAATAAATTTAAGTCCTTTCTGCCTTCCATCGGCATGGCTGATGCTAACCTCCAGTAGAGTAATTCATTGCACCTTCTCGAGCTAACATTCTTAGCTGACATAAAGTGGAAAAACTATATTGAATCCATTGCTAGGTCTGCTGTTAAGAATGTTGATTCACTGGGTTGTACTAGACAATTTTTCTCTCCAGAATCTATCTTACATATCTATAGATCTACTATTAGTCTGGTGTTCCTGCAATATATTTAGAGATTCTTGATAAAATCCAAAGAAGAATCAGCAATATTAATGATCCTGACCTGGTTTCTCAGCTTCAGTCACTTTCCTACTGCTGTAAAGTTGCTGCCCTGTGACTTCTCTATAAATACTTTCATGGTAATTGTTCAGATGACCACTCTGCTATGGTACCTAGACTATGATTTTAAGTGCAGTACTAGACTGTCAATGCGGTCTCTTCAATTTACAGTTGAATTTGTTAGATGTAAGCGTAAGTTCTATACTAACAGTTTCTTTTCTCATTTGTGGAACTCTCTTCTGACTCTATGCTTTCCAGCCAAATTTGATTTTAAAAAATTTTAATGCAATGTCAATCACTATCTACTGTTCTTCTGATTACTCTTCTATTGTTTTCATTCTTTAGTAATGTTTTAGTTTTTTAATTCTTCTACACCCAGTAATCCCCTTTAGTCTTAGTGGTTTTATTGCCTTGCTTGAGGTGAATTATTGTATCTGAAGATGAAAACAGATGAGATGTTATGCAATCAGAGAAGGGAAAAAAACATAATTGTGGCCATTGCATGGAGAGAAATTTATGCAAGATGTGAGAAGTACCTATGAGTATGATTTTTTGCAATTTACATATTTTAAGGCTACCAGGATTTTGATCCATGTATTTGTTTGCTCCTTTTGATATAATTCCTGAAGCCCCAATAACAAAAGGTAATGGTGTTATCCTGAGATGCCACATTTTACCGATTTCTGTCCTGACATCTTTGTATTTTATCATTATTATTATTTCCTTCTCTTCTTCTGCATATTTATTCATTATCAGCCAGAGATCTTACACCATGGTTGTTCCCCATCAAGTCATACAACCTCAAACAGATTGCACCTTTCACAGAATATTTGCAGAGTCAAGTAATGCAGCGAATGGATACTAGGCTTTCTTCTGATTTCTTAATGTCAGATTTTAAGTTCAGTGGTATAGAGCTGAACACACCAACAATAACTGAGATGATAGTTGCCTGAACATCCCACATTCTGGGGGTTGTTGTTGTACTACTACTACTAATAATAATAATAATAATATTATATTTAGCTTCTTAACAGAATTGACTTTTCACTTTTCAGCTTCATAAATATCTTTAAACAGTCTGCCATTGCTTTCATTTGGCGTAACAATGCAAGAGAAATAACTAGTAAAAAGGTATAGACATTTAAAATAAAAATATACAAATACATGTGGTGTATTACGTACATACAGGGTGTGATGGGTAATTTGTTGCCATTTTATATTTTTAATTTTGCACATACACATTATTTGTTTTTGATCTTGTTGACTACACAGTGTTGAAGGGTAAGTTGGGCACTGTCTGTGAGAAAAAGAGCACCATGATGCAATTCACTCATCCAGAAATTTTGAAACAGCATCCTGTACTGTTTGGTATTCATGCCAGAAGCTCCAATACGAACATTTTAGAGTGTTTGGGTGTCAATCTGAGGATAGTGCAGAGGATTCAGAAAGAGTTTGATGATGATTACTCTGATTGATTTAATAAGAAAAGAATTTGTTGATGGGGGCTGCAAACTCAACACAGAGGCCTACATCACATGCTTTGAGGAGGTAGCAATGCTGAGACTCAAGTGGGTGTCTGCTGGAAGACCTTATGTCTGGCAACTGGACTCTGCACCATACCATACAAGCAGGAGAACCCAATCATGGCTGTCAAGAATTTCTGCGACCACATCACTCTTTAAGTCTAGCCACCTAACTCCCCAGACTGCAACCCTTTTGATTATTATGTGTGGGGTGCAGTTGAGTGAGAGACCAGCAAAACTCCTTGTAGCACCAAAGATGAACTGAAGGCAAGTATTATGGCAGCATTCGCCAACAAGGAGTCCATCCTGAAGAGTTTCAGGAGATTCTGAAGTCATCTGGAGGCCGTGTTTTTAGCCAATGGCAATTTTATTGAATATATTTACTCTTTAATATTTCAAGATATTTTTGTGTAATTTTGGTAAATATATCTGTTAAAATGTGATGTCAGTGTTATTTTCATTTTTGCGTAATTTAGATGACAATTTATTCATCATACCCTGTATATATAATAATACAAGAAAAAAAATAGTAGAGGTCTTGAAAGCTACCCTCTACACAAATTTTGTTTAGATGTCACCTTCTCATCTACTAATGAATCTAAAGCATTATACATTAGATTACACAATACTAGACTAAAATTTTGGTGCAAACACAGGTTCAAATCCTGTCATTGATATTTTAAAAAAATAAATAAATGAAAATAATAAAACAAGTAAAAAAAAAAAAGTGAATGACTTTTTTTTTCACAATGATGTTCACCATCTATCTATATTTCTGAGATGAGGTATTTTAACTATTTACACTATTTACTTTGTTCGAACTGTTGTCCTTATCTTTATTGTCATATCCATGATGTTTTAGCCATTGTATGTGCTGGCCTTCTTCACGTGATATACGTTGGAATTTCGAACCAGACTCTTTATTTTGTCCACTGGGGTAAATCATTCTAGTTCCACGTGCCATGCCTTTTCTAGATATCTCAGTTTTCAGTTAATTCCCTAATTCAACTCTCCAAGTTTTTGTTCACCACTGCTGTGGCCATGTACTGAACTCACAACTCTTTGGGTCAAATCAATTTTAGATTACTTCAACCAACACTTTTATCCATTAGGCCATGTGTTCTTTGGGACATCCTGATGTTCACCCTGTACAAAGTCTAAGAGCCACATGAGGTAGAGGCTTAAGAGGTACAGGTTATGGAGATATGTGAGTTAACCTAGACTTGAACAGGTTAAGATAATAGTGATCCAGTAGCATTTTCTATGGAGTTGGTTCCACAAAGCAACAGTTCATGGGAAGAAGCTGCTCAAGTGAAACTTAATTCTTACCAATGGAATCTGCAGAGAATAAGGCTAACTCACTACAATGTGTGTGGCATAAAATAAAAGAAAGATATATAAATGTAAAAATGTAAGACTTCTTACCATGGTGAACCATGCAGACGAAATAGACAACATCAAATGCTTCATCTTCTTTCTTAGCAAACTGAGGGTAAAAAACAAAAGGTACTAATACTAACACTGAGAATGTTCAGATAAATATAGGGTGTTCCAATAACTTGGACCGATTTTAAATGTGAATTAAGTTTAAGCATCTAATGATTTTTTTTCTTTTTCTTTCAGATTTAACAACTTAAGTCTTTAGCAATTTCAACCATGGAAAGATTAACAATCAAAAAATGTGTTAAAGTTATCGAAACCTATTACAAAAATGGATGTAAACAACCTTTATGTACAAATATTTTTATAGAAATAAGAAACACTAAATCTCAAGGACAAACAAAATGATTCTTTTCTTTTATTGAAGAACCAACTAAATCTCTATCTATAAAAGGCAGGATATGTGTGTGTGTGTAACGAAGGCACGGCTGTAATTTTCGACGGATTTGCACCAAAATTTACATGCACATGCTCCAAGTTAGCAGGAAGGCCAAGACCGACTTTGCATTTCCCAACTCCCATCGATAGTGGAAATAATCAATTTTTTCATGCTTCTACAGCAGTTTTCATGTAGTTTGCAGCCATTTTTTACTGGTCAGAGTGAGAGCCTATAGCTGGCTTCCACGAATAGGCAGGAAGAGTCTATTAACCAGTGTGAGAGCCAACAGCTGACTGACATGAATGTTAACTAGCATGCAAAAAAAATCAATAGCTGCATTTGTCACACGTGGGAAAAATTTAAATCTGCATGGCACTTTACTCCAATTGTCTCATTTGCTTAAATATATTGATTCTGATTCCGCAGAACTGGGTTGGGTGTGAAAAAGTATTTGTTGTTAACATTCTTTTTTCATTTGGTTTTTCCAGCTATGAGTCCTTTTTTAAAGCTGATCGTTTTGTGTTCATTTTGTTTAGTTCTTTTTTCATAACAGATTTAATGTTTAGTATAGAGCTTAGAAAAGATTTGAAGTGTGAGATAGGCAAGAAGTAAGGCATGTAGCAACATCAGCATGGCAAAGGGCACTCCTTTAAAGGCAAGGAAGGGCAAAAATATTCTGTCAAGTGATAGTGATTGCTGTATGAGTCGTATGATTTTTGAATCAAGCACGGGCAACGCCGGGCCATGCTGCTAGTCTAAAAATAAAAAAGTGATAGGGTCTTCTATCTGCTATGTCTCTTCAGTTCATGAGTGATCATAGCTCTCCACAATTTCCTGTCCTTTGTAGCTCTTAATAAATTTTGTTTTGTTATCTCTCCAAAACCCTCTTCTGCAATTCATTTACTCAAGCTTGCTAGATAGGTTATGTATTGTTTTCCTATGTCCCTCTTGTCTTCTATCTTTCCTGTGAGTATCAAATTTTCAAAGCCCTCTTTCCCAATTATGTGCCCTAGAAATTTCAACTATTTCTTTCTGATGTTAAGTATAAGTGTCCTTACTATTTCTATTTTCTCTAAAACTTTATCGTTGCTCACATGTCTGTCCATGGTATTCTCAGCATCCTTCTGTAGAAACACAGATGCTTCAAGTCTCTTCTTCCCCTGTGAGGAGATTGTTCAGCATTCATTGCCATATAGGAGGATGTATAATACATAACAATTCAGTACTCTTTTCTTTGTTTTTAATAAAATTGTCAAAGCTAATAACATTTCATCACCACCAAGCAGACCCTAAATTTACTATGATGAGATAATAAACCCTCACACATTTTTACTCCAGAATGGAGTTGTGAAAACAACACAACTCCTCCTCCTGCAGACTATCTTAACTTCAGCCTGACACATGGTGCATCACACACACATTTTCTAACGGCAAAACCTATAAATGTTTTTTTTTTCTTTTTTCAGCTATCTGTGTACATACAAGTATATTTTCTCTCCTCTTTATTCTTTATATTAAAATATATATGCATGTTTGTCAAAAATTGAAGAATTACTACATGCTCGTCAATACACTGACAAAAACCAACACAGGACAGTCACCAAACAAAACTCCAATTAAAAAAAAATAAAACATGCTAACCACTCCAGAGTGCCCACAATGCAACTTTTGTTTTAGTCAGTTACCATTCATATTACTCCCTTGTTCCTTTTTTCATTTTCAGGTGGCCAACAGACACTGCTGAATACTTGTTGGCTATTTCCATCATGTGTTGCAATAAGCACATGCCAACCATGGCCATTCTTCTTTGCTACAGTAAAATTCCTCCACATATTGAAATTCATTTCTTTTCAAAATGTCAAATTCATTTACTTTGAAAGTTTACACATCAGTTTTATCAAGTTGTAACTCCTCCTGCTACAAACTTGTGACCAACAGCCACATTGTCCATTAAAATCCTGTAGTCCCAATCATTGCAAATACTTTGTTTGCTCTGAGTAGTTCTGATATATTCATATATAAATTAGGAATAAATATGTGAAGATATTTTAATTACCCTCTTTCCCTAAATATTGTCTGAATCTGAAAACTTCATGTTTCAAGACTTATCAAGAATATTTTATATCCATTTGTTAAACTAAGTGATATGGTGTCAAAATAATCAAAATATTAATAGTATCTATAATATTATCAGCAATAGTATGTATAGTATTATCAGTAATAGCATCTATAGTATTATCAGCAGTAGTATCTATTGTATTATCAGCAGGAATATCTATAGTATTATCAGCAGGAATATCTATAGTATTATCAGTAATAGCATCTATAGTATTATCAGCAGTAGCATCTATAGTATTATCAGTAATAATATCTATAATATTATCAGCAATAGTATTCACACTGTGAGTAACACATACAGAAAAATTATGTCTGTAGACAATATGGCTTATATTTAAAATGTACATCTCACAGTGGGCGGCACCTAATAATTAATTTACATTTATGGTAATTTTAGAATTAAATTTTTTTATTAATCCAACAAATTTTTATCACTTTATAAAAATAATATTTAAAGTGATAAAAATTTGTGGTAATATACAGGGTGCGATGTGTAAATTGTCGCCATTTTATATTTTTTATTTATGCACCTGCATGTTGTTTTTTATTTTGTTGACTGCATGGTATAGTAGGGTCAACTGGGCACTGTCTGTGAGTAAAAGAGCACCATGACACAATTCTCTCCACCAGAAATTTCAAAACAGCTAGCTGTACTGCTTGGTATTTGCACAGGAAGCTCCAATATGAACATTTCAGAGTGTTTAGATGTCAATCTGAGGATAGTGGAGAGGATTCAGAAAGAGTTGGATGAGTCTAATGGTGATTATGAAGGTACAGCAGCTCAAAAAACTCATTCTGATAAAAGAACTCCCAATTTTGTTGGTGAGGGTCTCAGACTGAACATGGAGGCCTACATCAAGTGCCTTGAGGCGGTAGTGTTGACCTGGATGTTGGTGGCTGCTGGAAGACCCTTTGTCCAGCAACATGACTCTGCACCATGCCACACAAACAAGAGAACCCAGTCATGGCCGTCAGACAATTTCTGCGACCACATTACTCCTTACATCTAGCCACTTAACTACTCAGACTGCAACCCCCTTGATTATTATGTGTGAGGCACAGTTGAACAAGAGACCAGCAAAATTCCTTGTAGCACCAAAGATGAACTGAAGACAAGAATTATGGTAGAATTCACCAACTTAAACAAAGAGAACATCCAGAAGAGTTGCAGGAGATTCCAAAGTCGTCTGGTGGCCTTGGTTGAAGCTAATGGCAATTTTATTGAATAAATTTACTCTTTAGTATTTCAAGATATTTTTGTATAATTTTGGTAAATATATCTGTTAAAATGAGATATCAGTGTTATTTTCATTTTTATGTCATTTAGATGACAATTTATCCATCGCACCCTGTATACATATACATGCTTCACCAGGAATGATAATATATATGTTTACATTTTAATACCATCTTTTGTAGTTTATTGCATATTAGTAGGCATGCATTTATCTTGCAAGATAAAGGTAACACACTACTTGGTCAAAATTGAGTCTTTTGGTAGTTAAGTTGGTGTGACCTCTCCAGAAGACAGTCCTGGACAATGGTATATGGAGTCCACATGCTGTCCAGACTACAAGGCCCTCTTCTCAGCAGTACAAGATTCAAAGGAATACAGAACATTACATTTGGGGTCGGCTTGGTTGCAAGAGTTGCCAGAAATTTAACAGTGTTGACAGCCAACTGCCTTCAGGTCTCTACTCCAAATTTTCTGTCTGGATTTACTTCCATAGATCTTTTTGTTTTGGGATATGGCCACAAGTCAGTGGGAGTTTAAAATCTGGGTTTTCTTTTCCATAGATGGACTGCCTTTCTGGGTTGATGTGCATATTAGATTTTATATAATGTCATCATTGTAAAGACTAATAAGAACATAAAACTAAATCTCTCATATGTAAATTATTATTTATTCACCTCTTGACTTTATTAGTATTAGTGTTAAGGAGTGTGGTTTTGGAGTCTTTCTTCAAACACGGATCTTCTAAAAATGTAATGTTATCATTGTAAAGACTAATAAGAACACAAGAGTAAATCTCTCAATATGTAAAATTATTGTTTGTTCACTGCCAAATCTCATCAATAGATATTGGCGTAAGGGGGTGTGTGGCTTTGGAGACACTCTCCAAATGAGGATCTTCTTACAAGGATGTAAGAGACTCTGTCTTTTCCCTCTCATTTTGAGTACTTATATATTTTTTAGTTATCTGGTTGTCCCATGTGTACACATCCTAAGCACAGCTGGGTTAACCACCTGTTTACATGACAAGGGCAGCCATTGACATCTTGTAAGAGACAAATCTGCACCTGGTGGCTATGAGGTCATCTTCAAGGTCAACTGTTTTATACAACTGGCTTATCTGATACTCTGGTTTGACACTAAATGAAAAATTTACTTTAATATCTCTAAGGGTGAGCCCACTATATATTAAGGTTACTCCAATTCAACTTCTCTTAGAAGTAAGGTTTCTCACCATTAAATTTGATTGAGATCAAATGGTATAATAAATGACCTCCAAGATTTGTTAGGCAGGTTTATGGCGATATTATGTTGAAACACCAGTTATCATACAATCATCAAAGTTAAGCAATGTCAAGCCTGGTCGGTACTTAGATAGGTGACTGCTTTAGAATACCAGGTGCTGTAAGCTTGGATATGTGGATGGTGTAATACTCAGAATTGGAATTCAGAGAGCTGAGTTCCAATTCCAGTCAAGTTTGTTATATTCACTTATACAGTAAAATCCTTGAAAAAGATATGAATCTACCTCTTCTCCCCACCTGCTATGGATTAATTAGTAAGACTTGTATCAGTAAATCATTACTATCTCCAAAAAATTCTTATAATCAAAAAATTTATTACAAAATTATTTTCTGGCTTTAAATAACCTGAAAAAGGTTGATAAGCTATAAAAAACCAAATCAATCACCCCATGATTTGATTCATTTCAGGTTTTCATTTGGCATATAAGACAATTAGCTAAATCCTAAAAGTTATGTTAAATATCGAAAATGCAAATAATTGACTTAATAGGTACTTACTCTTCGCGGGGAAAATTTTTCCACGGATAATGTTGGCTGGTAGCACACACAAAAAGTACCATTGGAATGTGTTATCACTTCAATGTTCAGTGAGCGATCTCAAAAAAAAATATACAAAATTTATAACTTTGAAAGTGTGAAATTATAAAAACAAATTGATTGAAATATAGTCTGATTATTAAAATTTCTGTGTAGTGCAGAGTAACCACACTATGACTCACACCAGAAATTATTATTTAAAAAGAGTTTATGTTTTTGGAAACAAAAAACATCATTGTAATAATCACTGAAATCATATCAAATTACCTGGGCATATTTAAGCAAAATGTATCATTCAAGTGCTTGTCTAAAAGCAATGTGTATAATAATGAAAAAGGATCAAAAATTTACATCTTGTAATGAAAATGTAGATTTAATCTTGAAGTATAAGTATATTCAGCCAATGAGAGACAAAATTCAACCTTTTGACTATCTTCAAAAATATATAAGCCAGATTTATATTTACAAAATTGCAATAAACCTTAATCAAAATAGTTTTGTTTCAAAGTCTAATTTCATTCTACACAATTTATATAAAAACAAATGGAAACCAAGTAAAGACATTTAATGATGCTTTAAATTATTACTTACATTCTTTTAAAAAAGATATAAAAAGAAATTTGCTATACAATTTAATGAAAATTTCAAATGAATCAAATCAGTTTGAGAACACTGATATAATTATGTGAGTTATAAAAATTCAGTGTTACATTGAAATTTTAAAATGTAACCTTGTAAATATGGTGCAAATTTAAAATGGCTGTACAGTAGGCTGAAGTTAATGTTTCATATCTGTGAACAAGAACTCAAAAATGTGGATCATCTGTTTAACTATTAGATTCAAGAGACAATAATTACATCTTAGAGAAATGCAAAAGTCAGGGTCCAAAGGATAAAAAATAAATTAAAACAATACAAAATAAATCATATATATATATATATATATATATATATATATATATATATTATATATATATATGTTTATCCATTTACTTTGTCCATATATATATATATATATATATAAAAAATATAGTCTTAAGGTGTGCTATATTTATGGGATAAAGTGCTCAATATCAGAGATAGAGCATGTGTAAATATAAAAGTGAACATAGAAGTCAACACTTAGCCGACAGTCTGTTTCATGCTATATGCAATCGTCAGGCCTGACGATTGCATATATGTTGAGACTGTCAGCCTTATTCTATATATATATATATATATATATATATATATATATATATATATATATATATATATATATATACATATCTATACATATATACACACCTACATACATACATACACATATACACATATACATATATACATACACATATACACACCTACATATATACATACACATATACATATATACACACCTGCATATATACATATAAGCATATACATATATATATACACACACACACACACACACACACACGCATATATAGATATTGCTTACCTGGGATGACAGAACAAAGTGGAATATCAATATAGCTAGGACTGGAATGAAAAGAAGCAAACCATTAGCAAGAGATTTATTATTAACATCAAAGTCTTTTTTTAAGTCTTAAAGAATATTTATAACTGGAAATAGTAAAATTATCAAAAATAATTAAAATTATCAAAAATAATCTTGCCATAACTGAGCCAGTGATACTTTTTTCCAATAAACATTAAGAACAAAAAGTTTTCTAAATAGGAACTTAACACGTTGAATTTAAAATTAGATATTTTACCGTATATCTTATTAAACAAAGAAAATATATTATTCAGTTGTCACATTCAAAGAAATAATACGACAGGAAAATTAGACACTGTTATAATTTCTTAATCTTATAATGTGTACAGTACTTATCATGTATTCATATAGCATGTCTGATTGACATCATCTTAATTTTAAGGTGAGTTCAATATATAATACTCTTGTTACATATAAACAGCATCATAAGACTTATATACTATATCATATGGAAGATTACCTTATACAGTATAAAATATAATATTGTTACTACTATGAGTATACAATCAGTATGTTATACTACTTGTAGTAATAATAGTATAATTATTTTTATAATCCTATACAAGTATTAATATATAATAATCTATAGTTTTATCATATATTATAATTTATTGCATTAATATATAATAATATAGTATATATAGGATATATACTATATAAGTCTTAACATATATTACTGTATTCAAACAAATGTTACTTACAAACTGGTTTTGGAATCAAATGGAAAAGGGAAATTGAGTGGAACATCAACCTGATAAAAGAACCAAACATTTACTATCACCTGTAAATTGATCACACAATTTGTAAAGCAACTACAGAAATAATTAAAAGTAAATATGAGTAACATTTACAATTTTTTTAGATTAAGATTTTTATTTTTTTATAGCAGAAAATAAGTGAATGTGATAGAAAATACAGTAGATACAAAGATATAATATGGAAGAAAATTTAACGATGAGTAAACATTTTATTATAATTTTGTTATTGTTGTAGCATATCTATGGACTATAATGGGTATACCCCCATTCCCATAAATACAGTAGTGATAGATTGTTCCTTACTGTCGAACTCTCTGCCTTGAGCAGAGAGGAACCTGGACAAGGCTTTGCCGAAGGGAAAAGTTTCGTCCGGGGAGATAGACAGGCCCTGAACCCATTTCTGCGGGTTCTAAGGGCATATTTTTTGTCGTGCCTACATGCTCGGAGAACCCATGGTAAACTCAGCCTTGTACCACATACATCCCTCGTGGGAGGGGGGGTTGTTAAATATAACAGTAGAGAATCTGCAATTGGAGATTCATTGTGAAATTCACTTGACTCACTTCTAGCAGTTGACTACTTCTTCTATGTGCCACTGCCAAATCTTATATGTATTGTTCATGTCCTAAGTATTATCATTCCTTACCTACTTTTGTGTGATTATTCTATTCAGTAACCTTCCTTATGTTACAACAGTTATTTACACATTTCAAGAATATAACCCTTGCTATTTGCCATTTTCTGCCATATAAATCCCAGCTATTTGCCCTTTTTCAAATATAACCTCAGCAATTTGCCTTTTTCCACAATATAACCCCAGCTTTTTACTCTTGTCTGCAATATCAACAACTTAGAAGCTTACCAATGACTTCATTATTATAAAAATGTAGAATCTGCTTGTAAACTTTCCTTTCCAAAAACTTCTATTTTCTGTATTTCAGAATATAAAAAAAATCTTTTTTGTTAACACCATTGCTGATTCTTTATCGTTTCTCCTACATCTTCCCTCACTGGCAAATAATATTACTGTTGTCCCTGTCTTTTCTATTCTTTTGCTACTTTGCCTTAACATATATGTGTGGATAACAGTTTTAACTTTTTCCACAGTTTTAGTTTTTAGTTTTTTCTTCTGCTTGTGCTGTTAGTTATCATGGGGAGAAACAATCATCTATCAGCAGCAAAGTGAGTGGCCTGGATGAGAGATATCTTGTGGGCTTTGAGAGTGTCTGCCACTGAGTCACTCCAGCATCTTCATGGTCTACCTCTCACTCTCCAGCCAGCGTACCTGAGGGTCTATTCTCGTAGGGCTGGTTGGTTGATAGGCATACAAGTAAGGTGTCCAAACCACTTGATCCTCTGTCGTTCGATGTGTTGTATGATTGGTATTGCTCCTACCATATCTTTTATTGCCTCATTCCTGATCTTGTCTTGCCTGGTTTTGTTCACTGCTTTCCTCAGGCATTTCATCTCACAAGTGATCAGTTGCCTCTCAAGGGTTTTTGTTAGGGTCCATGTCCTCTCAAGAGATTTTGTTAGGGGCCAGTTACCAGTTTTCTTACTACTTATTTGTTTTTTACAACTATCCAGAAAATTGTATCTCTTATTTTTATTTTCTGCTTTTGCTCACTGAAAGTTATATTTATCTTTAACTTTCCTACTCTCATTTATTTTTATCAATTGATAGTTTAGGTTTTCTTCTTTTATGTACTGTGTTCCTTCAAGACATAGGCGATCATGGCCCTCCACATCTTCCTGACCCATGTAGCTCTTAATAAGTTTTGTCTTTCTGTTATTTCTCCCAAACCCTGTTCTGCCATCCATTTGCTCAAACACATCAAGTGTGTCACATGCTGCTTTTCTTTGTCCCTCTATCTGTCTTGTGAGTATCAGATTTTCCAAGCCCTTCTTCTTCATTATGTGCGCCAGAAATTTCAACTGCCTCTTCCTGATGTTAAATATAAGTTTCATTTTTGTTTCTATTCTCACCAAAACCTTGTTATTGCTCACATGTTTGGCCTATGGTATCCTCAGTATCCTTCTGTAGAACCACATTTCTGTTGCTTCAAGTCTCTTCATCTTTGAGGAGATTGTCCAGATTTGCTGCCATACAGGAGGACAGATATTGCATAACAGTAGCTCATTAGGCTGATTGTCCAGTGGAGTTCACATTCATTTGCCCCTGGTTTCTTAGGCGGTGCTGTGAAAATATATCTACTTAGTTCTTCCAGTATATCACCACAATTGTAGATTTTATTTATTATTTCTGTAATCTTGTTTATGCCGAAAACATCTATAGCTGCTAGCATCTCTATGACAATTCTGTCTGGCCCTGCCACTTTGCTTCTGTTCGATTTGGCTAGTACATATTCCACTTTGATTTTTCCAGTCCGTTGGTATTTCTGTGTATTGCCGGTTGTTCTCTCTCATCGTGGAAGAGTTCTCCTATATATTTATTCCATCACTGAAGTATTTTTTCCTTCTCTAATATCAGCATTTCGTCCTTGGATATTAGGCAGCATGTCTGTTAGATCTCTTATGTTATTATGCACATCTCCTTTATCTGTGATACTTGTTCTTTCTATTTTTGTATATTTTTCATTGCGCCATTCTTCTTTAACCTGTCTATATTTGCTCCTTATTTCTTTGTGTAGTCTTCTGGATCCTGTTCCATGTCTTGGTATTGTTTTCTGTCTCCTTTGCATCATGTCAAGAATCTCATTTGTGATCCATTCTTTGGGATTATGTTGTTTTTTAATCTGATTAAAGCTTCTCTTAGTGTGTCCCACTTCGAGTTTCCATTTTGTTCCTTTATCTTCTTTTCATACTGTCCATATATTTTCCCTTCAGGTTTGGGTCATTTAGGAGTCTATTGCATTGCAATTTGGTTGCTGTGTTAGACTCCTTCAGTTTCCATAGTTTCATTCATAGTTTATGTGATTGCTTCCTCAAGTGGCACTGGGATAGGTTTTGCAGTGAACAACTGCATTCCTGAATCTATTGTTGATAGTTATGTAGTCAATTTGGTTTCTAGTTTCTCCTCCTGTGCTTCTCTATGTCCATACTCATCTTGGATGTTCTTGGAACCAGGTGTTGGCTATTACCTGCTTATTCACCGTTCACCATTGGACCAATTTTTCTCTGCATTTGTTGCAGGTTCCTAGTTCGAACTTGCCAGTTATTTCCCTTTTCCTCTCCTTGCCTACTTCGGCATTCAGATCTCCCATGATAATTATAATTTCATGTGAGTTACACTGAGCTTGGCATTGTCCAGCATGGAGTTCAATTTCTTCTTTTGTACTTCGTGCTGTTGGTGCATACACAATTATAATATATATGTTGAAATGCTTTCCATTAAGTTTAACAACAAGAATTCTTTCAGGTAACTGACAGTATCCCAGAATGCATTTCTTGATCTAGTATCAATGCAACTCCTTTTTCATTTTTCTCTCCACTTGCATATATAATCCTGTGGTTGACACTGACAAAATCTCCATTGTTTGGCCATCTAGTTTCACATACTCCTAAAATGTTGACATTTAACCTACTTATCTCATGTTTTACATTTTCCAACTGGCCACAGTTGTTTAATGTTCTAACATACCATGTCCAGAGAATAATTTTTTATTTGATAAAAACTAGTAAAAAAATAACAATATTAATGGATAAGCATTAACAGTTTTAATTTTTTAATCACTGTTTCCTAAAAAATAAAAACACCCACAATGTTACAATAGAATTAAATTCATAGATATGTACAAAAATTTATTTCATGGTTGAAGCATTTGTACTTATGGTAATTTAAGCACAGATTAATTAGGTTAAATTGAAGAGATAGAAGATTTACAAATCCTACATACCATGCTGTCATATTTGCCATTGAACCCAAATTGCAATGTTGACAAAATGGTATGGCAATTCCTATAGTTCACATCCTTTTCATCGTGTTGATGGTAAATATAGTGGAGACGTTGGTGGTGAACATCCCAAGAGCACCACATAAATTCACCAGCCAGTTGTTCTTTTTCTGGCTGTCGTTTCATTACCTATAGAAAAAATAATAGAAACAAAAATACAATTTTTGGAAAAATTTGTCCTTTGTGCCAGAAAAAAACAGAGTGACAAAAAGACAGTTTTTTTCATTGACACAGGTATTTTAAGTACCTTCACTCTTGAGCAATGTTTAATCTTTTAAAAAGTGATGATTAGAATTGGAATAAAATATAAACATAATGAAAGTGAACTTATACATTTTCTTTGTTGTTAGAATTGATAACAAAAATAATAAACACTATTTATTTATTAAATTTTTTATTTACACTATTTATTTATTATTTATTTATTTAAACTCTATAAAATAGTAAATAATAAGGATTTCCTTACAGTTAGTTCACATATTTTAATAATTTAGTAAATGTTTATAAATTTATAAATAAAAAATTGTTTTCATATTTATTTCTTTATAAATTGGTAAATGAAAAATACTGCATTGAATTAATTTGTATTAGTTTTTAGAATGTTGTAAATATAAAATTATTCTTGTAAATAAACAATCTAATAAGTGATGTTTAATATTTTTGTTATAAATTCTCAAAAACCAAAAAACATGTATAAATTCACTTTCATCATATGTTTAGGTTTTATTCCAATTCTAATCCTCATTTTTTAAAGGTCACATCATTTTACAGTTAAAATGGCTAGATGTATCCATAGGTTTTTTTTTCTTTTGCATTTCTTGCTTGTGGAACTGGCTTCTTGCTTTCCAGCCAACTTTCATCTTCAAAATTTTAAATGCAATACCAATTGTTATCTTCTGTTTTCTTAATTCCCATTCTTTTATTTTTCTCTCTCCTTAATACTGTTTTCTTTTTCTCATATTCTTTCACACTCAGTGACTCCTTGCATCTTAGTGGCTTTATTGCCTTACTTGGGGTAAAATGATTTTTTTAAAATATTAAACTTGTGGAATTGGTAAAATTCTTTGATATAGTAAAAAATAACATATTTAGTAATTCTTTTTTTGGTTTAACTTATAATTTTTTGTTTTACTTATTTTTCTGATTTTTGAGTTGCTTAAGTCACACTAATATTAGTAGTGAAGTTGTTTAAAATTTAGTCAAATTTGACTACAGTTACTTGTGGGTTAATAAGAGCTGTGGGTTAAATAAGAGAGCAGAGTAGGCTCTCTAGCCATCTTTGGTAGCCAGTCTAGATGAAGGACAAATCTGAATTCAAAACCATATGTTGAAAATAGAACATATTATGCAACCATTGACAAACTCATAGAATTCACAACACGATGTATTTTTTTTTAGAAAGTTTCTTGGTCAAGAACTTTTCAACACTCTCATAATTATGTTAGCAAAAATATGTTTGTTTTTTTAATATAATGCATATATGACACTTATGCTACAATAACAGTCACATCCTTTCTTCTATTATGTGACGGAAAGCAGGAGTGGTTATAATTTTTTGTTTTACTTATTTTCCTGTTTTTTTGAGTTGCTTAAGTCACATTAACATTAGTTGTTTAAAATTTAATCAAATTTGATTAAAGTTACTTGAAAAAGAAAGTGAGAGTGATGCAATATCTTGTTCTCCCATGGTTTTTGCATGTGTTTTTACAGTCTTCTTAACAATGGCAAGCATCACACCATGTCCTCTCTATTGAGGCATTCTCAACATAAGACATACTAAAATTTGACAGATGTTTAAACAATATAAGCCAGTATTAACTGCCTTTTCTCAAATCCACAAATCTATAATCCTCAAGCTCAAAACATATATCCAGTAACTGTTTTTTTTAATCAAGGTGTCACATGAGGTCACCATGTACTTTCATATCCTTCCAAATGAGCAGCAAAAACATTGTACAAAAGGCTGCTGAAAAATTCTCAGTTTGACCTAACTCAGATTTTTTTTATTTTTTGAATTCCTTCCCTTTTGCCCAAATACTCTTGGGAAAGGTATAAATTCATCTCTTCTCCTCAGCTATGGATTAAATAGCAAGGCAAACTAGGTTTGCTAACCAGGGTTGGCAACCTGTCTAAGAAAAGGATAATTCTGAATTTCCTCTTTGGTACCTAGACTTTATGAATTTAAGTGCAGTACTAGATTGGGGGCTAGATCTTATTTACAGTTGAAATTGCTAGATCTAACCATAAGTTTTATGCTAAAAGTTTCTTCTCTCACACTTCTTGCTTGTGGAACTCTCTTCCAGCTTCTTACTTTCTGGTCAACTTTAAGGTTCAAAATTTAAATGGAGATAAGACACGTTTGAGATAAGTAAAAGAGTTTTTATATTTCTCTGTGATTTACAAGGATCAATTATTTGCTCATTCCGGAGTATTGTATATCAGTCATGGGAGACTGAGGATTTGTTTTGGATATAGCACAAGGTAATATGACACTTATGCTACAATAACAGTGGCGTCCTTTCTTCCATTATGTGATAGAAAAAAAGGAGTGGTTGTTGGGTGCCAGGCATCTATATTCAGCTATGTCTGACTATATATGGCTTTTTGGCAAATAAATGTTCTTGAGTTTGTTTGTTTTAAATTAGGCTGAGCCACATGATATAATTTTATTTCTGACTGATGTCCATAGAAGTATCTTCTTGGCTAGAACTGGTCAATGTGAAATTTAAGATAAATCACAAATTTAAAGTAAATGTCTCCATTACAAGACATTTTATGCTACATATATTATTTTTAAAAACAAATATACATTAAAATCAATCATCTGATAGAACCCTTTCTGCCTTCCATCAGAATGGCTCATGCTAACCTCCAGAAGAATGATTGTTGCACCTTATCAGGTCAACATTTTCCACTGACATGAAAAGGGAAGACGATCACAAATCAATTACTAGGTCTGCTGCTAGGAAAGTTGGTTCACTATGCCATGCTAGACAATTTTTCTCTCCAAAATCTATCTTAAAAATTTATATGTTTACCATTCATCCATGCATTGAATATTGCTACATCTGCTACATGCTCCTGCTATACATTTAAAGATTCTTGATAAAATACAAAGAAGAATCTGCAATGTTAATGATCCTAACCTGGCACTTCACCTTCAGTCACTTTCCCACAGCCGTAATGTAGCTTCCCTGTGCCTTTTCTATAAATATTTTCATAGTAATGATTCAGATGAATTCTTCACTATGGGACTCTATGAATTTAAGTGCAGCACTAGACTAGCAATGAGGTCTCATCAATTTACAGTTGAGTTGGCTAGATGTAACCATAAGTTCTATGCTAACAGTTTCTTTTCTTGCACTTCTTGCTTTCCAGTCTACTTTGATCTTCAAAAATTTAGATGTAATATTAATCATTATCTTCTGTCTTCTTAATTCTTGTTCTTTTATTATTCTCTCTCCTTAATAGTATTTTACTTTTTTCCTCATACTCTCTAATACCCCTTGTATCTTAGTGGCTTTATTGCTTTGCTTGGGGGTGAAAAGATTGAAAAAAATATAAGTATTCCATTTACAGCTATTTGACAACAGTAATTGGTCACAAAATTCAACATCTCCATTTTTATCTACTATTAAAAATTGTATACTATACTTTTACAACTTATAGTTTAATGCTCTAAGTGGAAACATTTCGCATGTAAATTGTAACATAACTCATATGCTTAACCTATTGTATCTAGGCTTATTGAAGGTGGGGTGGGAACTGAAAGATGTGAAATAATTGTAGTGAGCAAATTTTTACTTGTAGGCCAGCTCCACTCACTCAAGACATTTTGGTGATGGGGCTGATTAGGTTAATGTAAAATAATTGGATAATCTTTGTGTATTGATTAGAATATTGTTTTGAACTCAATGATCTGATTCATAGGATTTGAATCTTAAAATTATTAATTAAAACGGTTAAAAAAAAGGAAACTCAGTTTTTATATAAAATTAAAACATGGCAGAATAGATGAAAATATTTCAAGTAAAAATTATCAAAGCATATTTTTCACAAGGATTTCTTATAAGTTTAAACAAATGGCAACCACTGAATTCTGTCATTGCTCACAAACAGTCCTTAAAAGCATGATATTATTTTAATCATTTCATTCCAAGCAAGGCAATAATGCCCCTAAGATCAAACGGTCATTGGGAGTGAATGAGAGTCATTAAGAGAAGAAACCAGAAACTCAATCCTAAACAGAATACAAGTGATAAATTGCTGCTCCTGTTCAAAAGAAGGAGGTGTGTGAACCGAATGATAGGTGAACCTATTTACTCCTAAAGAAAAAAAAAATTTAAATAGTAAAAGATTAAATTAAAAAAAATTAGTAAACAAAATTTTGGGGTGTAGGCAGTGCTGATTTCAACAAACAAAACCCAAGGACATTCTCAGATATTGATGAGCCATGCAACTTAACCATATTGTAACATTTAACAAATTCATTACAATATGAACAGTGAATCTTGATATAATGCAAGTAATAAAAACAAAGTATGATCTTACCATTGCATCTTCCCCAGCCCTTGCTAAAGGAATATGATACAAGCTAATTGCTAAAAAGAAAAATATAAAAGGGTAAAAAGTAAATAGGAAAAAAATTGGAATTATGCATATAAAAAGCATTCAATTTCAAATAAAAGAAAATTTTATTTTTCTTAGTTGACCCCAAAATCTTATTATAATTCTACTTATTTTTTCACTAGTTAGGAAGTTAACACATGCATTAAACCTGTTATTACCTCAGTTAAATAATGAACCATTCCCTTTTGATTTTGAGGAAAAACAGAAGAAAAGATACTGTTTTGGTTTAGTGAAAAAAAGAAAGAGGAGGTGATAATGTTCTCATGCATTCAATGTCTGCTTCTGTGAAATGGAAAATTTTGTCAATTTTGAATTTTTTTCATTACATTCACTTATGTGCTAATACCCTTGGGAAAGGTATGAATTCTCTTCTTCTCCCCCAGCTATGGGTAAATAGCAGGACAGACCTGGTTTTATAGCCTTGGATGGCAACTGGTCTACCACAGAAAAAAATGGCAACCTACTGAGGGAAAAAATCTGCCTCGTCAGTCATGTATTGAAAGATACATGATCATTTAAGCATGTATCACGCATGACATTTAGAAAAAAACTCTGACTTCTTTAAACAATGACCTGCTTCCATGCTTATGATTGTTATTGCAATATTTTGTTAAAGTTGCTAAGCTCAAATATTTATCAATGCAATAAGGGAATTTCCATGAGCATTTTATAGTTGTAAAACTTGCAAAAAGCTTATTCAGTCATTAAATAAAGAATTATAATTTATCAGAAAATTCAAAGAGGAAAAACTGTGAAATATAAATCAACTTACATTCTTTGTGAAGAAAGACTAACATATATGCTTCTCTTTCCAGCATTTCATTGCCTTGTCCTGGTCCCGTGGTTAAGTGAAGAAACTGAACCTTCAAAAAGTTGATCCTTTCAATATTCAAGGAGAAAAGACGATTTGGCTCCAGAATCTCAGCCAAAAAGGCAGTGTAAACATCTAGAATAAAAAATTAAGTGTTGATAAAATAATCTTCCAAGTGTGTTGTTTGAAGAATAAGTATTTGTATTAAAGTATTTGTATTGAAACATGAATTTGTATTGTATTGAAACATGTATTTGTATTGAAGAATAAGTACAACTGACAAGTACAATTTCATTTGGCCTCTAAGTTGTGCTAAATGACATCACTGTCTATGAAGTTTGCAAGTGACAATTATACCTCATCACCATCAGTCCTTTGACCAGGTGTGGTTGTAGGGTTGCTACAGTTCTCTCAACATTTCTGAGCTGAAAGCTGGTGAGGTATTCATTCATGCATAGCAGGTCTTGGGAAAGTAGACCTGGCAGGACCCATCCCTCTCCAGATCAAACCACAGCCAATGTCCAACTTGAAAAGTCACATTGGTCATAAGCATGTGTCCATTGAAACCTCTTGCCCTGGCTGCTGACCTCATTCTAGGAACCCTTTCACTAATTATGAGGCCATATCATAATTATACTAACTCATTTACAAATAGACACACACAAAAAAAAAAACAGCAGCAACAACAAAAAAATCAATTATTGCTTACCACTACATATCATATAAGTATTGATCTGATGGAAGCATATCATTTTGTACTGTTTACAAAAGTAATAACAATATTTTTGGAAGTGCTTTTTTCTTTAATCTATATCACTCCATGTTAGGCAGTAAAGCCACTAAGACATAAGGAGTTACAGGATATGAAAGAATTAGTAACAGAAACATTAATAATGAGCAGGAAGAGGAAAGAGTAATCAGGAGAACAGTAGATAGAGATTGACATTGCATTTAAATTTTTGCAGATTAAAGTTGGCTGAAAAGTATTATTATTTATTCTTATTCCACTAAATCTCAAAGATATTTACTTGCAAATATAAAAACAAAAATTATAAGTAAAATAACAATTGTGGATTGCTTATACTGAAAAGAGTTTAAACTTGTCTCTTTTAGTCAGAACAGTTACAAGCAAATTATAAGAAAAAAAATTAATGAAAACTTATAAAATACTTAAAAAATTTTGAACAGTGATCTAATGCCTTCTGTCAATAAAGTCTCCATCTTGTCTAGTTTTTAGAAAAAAGATAAATTTCAATCTTGTTGTTTATTGTATGTGCAATAAAAACATTCTCAGTAGAAAATATAAGTGCTGTGTTCAATGTAGATGTTAACACATAATAAATGTTAAAATATTATTATTCAATATACCAGAAAAATTAGACTATCCCACCCACCACAATTTTATATATTTTTTGCACCTTTCAAATTAAGTAGAGTACCTTATATTTCAAATAGGCACTCCAGGGGCACTTATTAGGAGGTACTTATTGAAAAATCATTCACATATGTAGCAATTAGGACACTCATCTTTTATAGGTTGCAAAGATTTTGTTATAAAATCAAAACAATACATTTACAAACAAAATTTATGAGCCCTTCAAAATATACTTTTATGTGTTGTGTCATGGCTTTCCACAATTTCTTGTCTTTTGTAGTTATTAATAAATTTTGTCTTTTTGTTATCTTTATTAAACCTTGTTCCAACATCTATTACTTAAGCTCACTAGGTTATGTGTTGTTTTCTTCTGTCCCTCTTCTGTTGTTTTCTTCTGTCCTGTGAGTATCAAATTTTCTAAGCCCTTTTCCCTCATTATGTGCCCTAAAAATTTCAACTCTCTTCCTGATGTTAAGTATAAGTTTCCTTTTTGTTTCCATTTTCACTAAAACAGTGTTGTTGCTCACATGTTTGGTTCATGGTATTCTCAGCATTCTTCTGTAGAACGACATTTCTGTGGCTTAAAGTCTCTTCTTTGTGAGGAGATTGTTCAGCATTCATTGCCATATAGGAGAACTGATATTACATAACAGTTCAGTACACTTTTCTTTGTTTCTAATGAATTTTTTCTGTTTCTTAATATTTTTCATAGGTTTTGGAAAGCATCTTTCAACTATCCCAATGCACCTTTGGATTTCAATGTCCCATTTTCAATCTTCTGTTAAAACACTTCCCAGATATTTAAATTGTTGTACATGTTTGATTTTGGTATTTCCAATTTGTAATTTATATGTTGGGTGGTTCCTTTTGCAAACAACTGTGCATTCTATTTTCTTGCAATTGTTGTTTAATCCTTCTTCTCAATTTTCATCATAACCTTCTGTAAGAGTTCTTGTAGTTTCCATTCTTTGTCTGCTATCAACACTGTCATCTGCATAATGTTGTTAAGATTGTGGCTGTCAATAATGAATCCTGGTAGGACTTCAATTGCCTCAATGCATAGGTTGAATAAATTCAGTGAGAAAACACATCCTTTCTATTTTTGTATATTTTCATACATTTTCTATCTGTATGCAGACAGTTTTCTACCGGTGTAGATTCTAAATTATTCTAATATCCTTCCCATATATGTCAAGGTTACTCAGCAGTTCCAATATTTTTTGTGATGTACTTTATCAAACACATTTGCATAATCTATAAAACACTGGTACACATCATTTTGTATTTGTATTGCGCTTTCTGATATCATTCAGAGCATAAACATCACATTTATTGTTCCAGTGTCTTTAATCAACCCACACTGTTCTTGTCCTATTTCCAATTTAATTCTGCTGCACACTCTATTCATCAGAATTTGGATGATAAATGTTGTTATGTGGTACATTTGGCTGATTGTCCAATGAAGTTCACAATCATTTGCACCTGTCTCTGAAAAGATATCTACATAGATCTTCTGATATGTTGCCACTAGGATTCTTAAACACTTGCAAGAAATGCTCACACTGGACAAATTTTTGACTATTTTTTTTTTACTATGGTTTACCCAATACAAGGCCCATGAGTCACTCAAAATAGAGAGTTACTAAATGAGGTTGTTGTAAGGTAATACAGGAAAATTAAATTATTATTAAGAGAAATGTTCGTAAGATGGGGTTTTGGCGAGTTCATATAAATGGATTAGCATAAAAGATTTTTACCCTTGACCCCCACCTGATTTAAAGCATACTCCCTCCACTTCAAAGCATTTTGGCAATGGTCCTGAGTCTTCTAAATCAGAAATAAATCACCTTGTGACAACTTTGTCCAGTCTCTGTTCCTTTGTTTCAATTTTGGCAGTTATAAGATATAAACAGAAATTGGAAACATTTTAATTTCTGTTTTGCCAATTTTCATTGACATCAATTCCAAGCCCTTTTTTTCCAGCTGCTCCTGCAATATTTTAACTTCATGAGATTTGTTTTCCAGAAGGATAGACAAGCAAACCATTTTTATTATCATTGCTGAGGAAGTGACATCGTAATGCTGACAGTTCGAATGTTTTAAGCTTGTTAAACTGATCAGTGTTTATTTTAGTGGTAAGGGTTAGCTATGCTCTTGATTGGGAGTGTGATTTTTACCTTGATTAATTTTCTATTAGATATTTAAACATTCCTGTTTTCTATCACTGGCTTGAAAAATCCTAACTACTTGAAAGAAAGGAAAGATGCTGGCCTCCATCATACCACAATAGGCATCAAGAGAATATAAGAACCACTAATCAAAAAAGAACAACTGATGAATTTGAGGTTTAAAAACCTGACAAAAATAGAGTGGTGAGTTTTCTGAAAGGTCTCAGGTTCAGTACATAATAAGAATAACAATAATATTGATTGGATAAGATGGATTGTGATTGGTCAATACTAAAAAAGCAACTGTTTGAGAATTGCAAACTATCTGAGCCAAATCCAGCATCCTATAAATCTCAATCTGTCTTAAAAAACAAAACAAAAAACAATGCAACATTGACTAGGTACAAGGTTGTTAAAAGTTTTATTTCAGTGTATGGGACTGATGCTTTGGATATTTGTGCATCATTACAAGGATGGATCAATAAGTCCATAGCCTGACAGCATTAGGAGCTGGATTTTGATCTGAAATTTTCAATCTATAGCAAAATACTATATTATGTTCACTGACAAGGAAAGAGATTATGTTGATAAATATTTATTTGTTATGTAAAATAAATACTTTGTTCAGTTTAGGCTATGGAAACATTGAGCCTATGGAAACACTGACTCACTTAAATAATTTCTTTTCAAATGAAGAATTTTAGGTCAAATTCTTGAGAAAATGTTTTTAATTTAGAATGACAGACAGTGGAATCTTGAGTTTCTACCTTTTCAAAAGATTAAGAAATGGCAATATAAGTTTCAAAAATAGAAAATATTTTATTATTTACATGTGGACTATTGTCCTCATCTTTGTTGTTGTTATCACATTTTGGAAATTGTGCATTTCAGCCTTCATCGGGTAAACCAACAGAGAATTTTGAACTGAAATTGTTCTCGTAGATTAAATAAAGCAGTAATTCTCAACCAGGGTTTAATAGTGGGGTTCCATAAAAAATAAGATAATTGGTGTTCACAGTAATATTTTAATGGTTCCATTGAGCAATTTCACTTTAAAATGGTTGTTACAACTGAGAATTGGAATTTCTAGGGTAATCTACACCATGTTAAAATACTAAAAATAGAAAAACAACTCTAAAACTAGCAGAAAACAAGATCAAGCAATGTAAGTCAGTGTCCCATTTATTCTACCAGATGTTTTGATTATAAAAGTTGAACAAAAACTGAGAATGATATATGAAGGAAGGATTATATATAAAAAATTATATAAAAGATTATAATTTATTATATAAATTAATTTAATATATTAATAATATTCATATTAATAAAATAAATTATTAATATATTAATATAAATGAATATAAAATATTAAAAAATAAAATATTAATAATAAAATTAATTTAATATATAAATTATATAAAGATTATATATAAAGGAAGGATTAACAGTATTAAGCTCTTCAAAAGCATCAACCACAAGGATTTCATTGAATAAATCTGGATTTTTTAAAAATTTATTAATTACTCACATATTTTAAAATGGTTTATTATGTTATTTTACTAGCGTACATAAACGTTCCATAGAATTTAATTGTTAAATACAAATTTATTTTCAATATTACTTTAAAATAAAGCAAATACATTTACTATTTCTCTAATACAATTCCTAAACTATTGTATCTATAAGTAAAAAATAAAATGAGCTTTTTTTTCATTGAACGGTCATGGGGAGGTTGACCAAAAAAATTAAGAGTAAAAGTGGTCCTTGGGTAAAAAAAATGTTGTGAGGTTACTCATTTGCATATGAAGTCACAAAGACTATAAATAGCTACAGCTATTACCCATGAGGGTCTTGAGTGCATACTATTTCCTGTGAGTCAGTAACACTACACTATTGACTGAGAACCACTGAAATAAAGATTTCATTTTGAAATTCCCTGTAGGTTACCCATATCAATACACATCTGAACACCAGAGGGCCCAACAGCCAATATGTTGTGATAACAACAACAAAAATCAGGACAACAGTCCACATGTAAATAATGTATATATAATAATATTATATTATTAATATAATGTATTATGTATAAATAATGTCATGCGAGACAATTTTTCTCTCCCGAATCTATCTTACATATCTATGTTTATCATTCATCAATGCTTAGAATATCGCTATGACATATGGTCTAGTGCCCCTGCTAATTACCTTGAACTCCTTGATAAGATCCAAAGACGAATCAGCAATATTATGGGCCTGATCTGGCAGCTAGGTTTCAGTCGCTTTCCCTCTGCTGTGATTGCCTCTTTGTGCCTTTTCTATAAATACTTTCATGGTAATTATTCAGCTAAGCTCTTCGCTATGGTACCTAGACTTTTTTAATTACTGTGTAGTACTAGATTGGTGTCAAGATCTCACCAATTTACAGTTGATCTGGTTAGATGTAGTTGTTAAGTTCTATGCTAACAGTTTCTTTTCCATGCTTTCCAGCCAACTTTAATCTGTAAAAATTTAAATGCAATGTCAGTCTCTATCTACTGTTCTCCTGATTACTTTTTTCTCTTCCTGCTCATTATTAATGCTTCTGTTCCTAATTCTTCCACACCCTGTAACCGCTTGTGTTTTAGTGGCTCTGCTGCCTTCCATGAGATGATACTGATTAAAAAAAAAAATCCCAGAAATTCAGACAGAGAAAAGTTTCTGTTGGTGCCACTCCAACAACCCCACCCATGGATATATTCAGAAGAGTACTGATAGTGATTCAACATAAGCCCTTTTCTCATTGGCTGGCAATATTACAGATCATAAAAAAAAAATACCTTACCATATCCTTCCAATCCTTCTTCATTTTGATTTAAAATGGTAAAGGCTGAAAAATCAAAGAAACATTTAATTAGTTTTTATTATATTAATGTTTTAATCAGAAAATACCAGAACAAAGTAAGCATATTTATCTAATGAGGTTTTTTTCCTCTTCAAGTCAATGTAGTGAGTCCTTAAAAAACATCTCTACACCAGAGATATTATTACGTATATATTTTACTGTCCACTTGAGACTTTCATCTCCACCTTTCTGGATTAGTACCATGTCCTAACCTGGGATTTGGTTGATTAGTATATGTTTTTTTTAAATTTATTTTCTATTCCCTTCTTGCTTCTTGTGGGCAATCTGTTTCATGGGGATTTTTTTTCATCTATTCTTTCTTTTTTTTACTGCATGCAGATAGGTATAAATTTAGGAAGAGGTTTCCTGTATTTGAACTTAGATCTATCACTTAACAGGAAACTTTCAATAACAGAACTGATCTACATCTCTTTAGAGTTCCTGATTAGTTTATATATATATATATATATATATATATATATATATATATATATATATATATATACTGAGATTGTGCTCTGTGAGACATGGGAACTTGGGAGGGGTGGTCTTTGTCATCTAATGTTGAGTTGGAGGCAAAGATGGAGGTGAAGAGGTTTGCCTTACCTGTTGAGGAGGATATGACATTTATAATTCTGAGCATAGCCGCTTTGCCTCTGTTCATGATTTGGCTGGTGATCTTCCAGAATTCTTCAGGAACCAATTTGTTTATATTCAACTTTGGTCTGGACTGCTCATGTGTAGCTGCACTTGGCATTTTCTAGAACTTTTTGCAGCGATTACAGGCAGTTCTGAATGCAGTGAGGGCTGAACAACATCGCTCATTGTAATAGATATTGAAGTAATGGTTTCAGTGAGTTATGGCTGCAGCACATTCATGGGTGAACCAGGGATGACTGTTTGGTTTTTGGAATTTTTTTAGGGTATAAAACTCTCCATTCCAGAAAGGATCCTATCAGAGACAAAGGAAGCAGTTTTTGAGGCAGCGTGCTTGAAGAAGGTTGGGAGGTAAGCTTCCACCATGTAGGATCAGAAGCTGCCCCAGTCTGCCTTTGCATAGTGAAAGATTGTTCTATGGAATGGTATGTCAGAGGATACCTTAGGTTTGGCATCAATTTGGACACTGATTAGGGAATGGTCTAACATGCCTGGTGGAGGTAAAATTTTTGATAAACATTTGTCAGGGCAGGAGGTTAGGAAGAGGTCAAGGAGGTTTGCTTGATGTCAAGTTGTATCCAGGTAGGTTCTCCGATGATCTGGGTTAGCTCATAGGCAATGGAGAAGTCTCTAAAATAGCTGCCTTCAACATTAATGGAATAGACTAGCCACCCTTCATGACTGATATTGAAGTCACAGCAGATATAAAAGCCTGCCGAGGTGAATTGATTGAGGATATTATTAATCTTCTCAGATATTTGATTGAAGATTACCGTCCTAAGGACAGTAGATAGCAAAGACAAATGTGGAACTATGGATAAGTGCTACACGAAAGTACATATATGGGAGATCAAGTTCCTCATTTTCATAGCCAGAGAAACAGACTGTTATATTCCATGCTAATAGGAATATGGAATGGACAAACACATTGGATAAATAGTAACAGGTTTATTGTAGAAACCAGTACAACAAGCAAGAAAGAAATAGTTATGTGCATGGTCGTCACAAGTCAGTACAGTTGTGTGCATGCTGCTATCAGAAGGCCGCTAGTCTCGCAGATCCCAGCTCAACTCTCTGCTGTCCACTGTCCTAACTGATACTTATAGTTGGTTACCACCTATAGTGCCGCCACTCATGGGGGTGGCAGGTTATTCTATCACAATGCAGACACAACCACAGGAATTGCATGGATAAATACCTTGGAGAGAATCATCCAGAGATACGGTCATAGCTGTACCCTTTATCATAGCAGTGAGTGGCTCCACCAGAGACCATTACACGGTCTAGAAACCATTCACAAAAAGGCAGTACAATATCCCCGGGATTATACACCTGCTGATAGGATAGATTCTTTCAGAGTTACTGAAAAGTTTGTATCCCTGACTATCAGGAGGTTATACCAAAACCCAGAAAACATCTACCTCCAGCACCCTTAATGAAGGGACAATCAACCCAAGAAAGAAAATACAAGTGTGATGCTTTGAGAGGATATGTCGTGACTGCCCATCACTTAGCTGATTGGTACAAGTTTCTTGTCATAGTCTATGTGTGTGCATGTGCCCATGCACTCGTACATGTTAAATAAATGTCATGATAATTTGTCCTTTACATTGTTTTTCTAGACATATATATTAATTATAAAATTAATTATAAAAGGCACAGTGGAGTAATGGATAGTGGATCAGATTGAGGAATCGGAAAGCCGAGTTTGAATTCCATTTGAATCCATTACATTCACTTACATGCTAATACCCTTAGGAAAGGTATGAATCCTCTTCTCCCCCCCCAGCTATGGGTAAATAGCAGGACAGACTGGGTTCTATAACCTTGGATGGCAATTGGTCTACTGCAGAAAGAAATGGCAACCTACTGCAGGAAATATCTGCCTCGTCAGTCATATATCGAAAGATACATGATCGCCTAAGCATGTATCACACATGGCACATAACTGACTAACTGAATTATAAGATTATTAGTTATAAAATCTAATGAATTTATAAAGTGAAGTTTCTGCATCGTGATTTGATGGCATGAATTGATGGCAGTGAACTTAACTGTAAACATATTCTCTCATTCTGAAATAACCAATGCTATGGTGTTAATAATGGTATCTTTGTTAGTCAGTGACTATAAAAAAAAAAAACTAAGAAATGTAATATATTCTGTACAATGCCTTAATCAAGGGATTGATCACTATGAATTGGGATGTGATTTCAGACAATATTCTTCTCTGGTGGTTACCATCCTTGTCAGTCACCAGCAGTTCCATTCTTACTTCATCTGTAGACACCTGCAGTTTTTACATATGACTGATATTTGTCCAGGTTACACATTCCTGATATGTCCTTTCTACTGCTGCTTGAAAACCTCAAGCAACTGTTAATGTGGTGTTTCATCCTTTTTACATGAACAATCATTCTGTGATTCAGTGGTGTTAAATCCTGTTTATATCCCATGGCTGCCACAGCTACACTAACTCTTTACCTGCTTCACTTCCACGGCTACACTACTTATTTACCTATTACATCACATATGTGTCAACTGGTGGAGTTCATTTCTAAAAATGGGAGAGAGGAAAACCTTCTAACATACAGCTGTCTCTAATCTTTAAGCACTTCAGATTACACATACAAAAATATATTTCTTAGATGAGGCCATGTTAAGCATAGCCATATTCATAGCATAGCCTACATCACGTGATCACACTTATATTCATTGGACCAGTCAAAATATTTCTATTTTAAGAAAAAAACGTTTCTTTTATGTTTGTGTACTTTTACTTTTTAAGATTTATGCATTTTTGTTCCATTAAAGCAATTTATAATTTTATTATATGGAAAAAGTGAAACTTATCTTTATGAATCTATAATAAAAAATAGTCAAGCAGAGAAAGTCATAGACTTGGTAAACAATTTAAAATGGTTAAAAAAAAATATTAGTAGATATTAGTAACATAAGCACATTAACTAAACAAAAAGACAAAATATTATATAAGTAGAAAATATATTTTTACAAGACTCATAATTTAGAATACTGAAACATACTATTATTAACATGTAAATAATACCAATCATGTTCATTTAACATTGAATACATGTGGAAGTAAGACACAAGCATTCTCAACACTAGAACAATCCAAATCCAAATCAGGGCGGGGGCTTCTCACTCCTATTGGAGAAACCCCTCCCTGATTGTTATGTCTTCAGGGGTGTAGCCATACTCATCATGCTTGGCCAATTGCTGATTTGTGAGGCTATTTAACCCATAGTTAAAGGTTTTGAATTCAGAGTTGTACTAGACCAGTTACAACCCAAGGCTATAGCACCCAGTCTATCCTGATAATTTACCCATAGACGGGGAGAAAAAAGGGTATTTACATGTAAGTGAATGTAACAAAATCAACTGGAATTCAAACTCAACTCTCTGATTCCTCAACCGAAGCCACTATCAATTACACCATCATACCTTTAGAACAATAGTTACAAATTATTCATTTTTTTTTTTACAATGATGTTCACCCTGTACAAAGCATGAAGGCTACTCGAGGTAGAGGTTTACAGAGTAAGAGGCACAGCTTATGCAGATATATGTGAAAGGTAACAATTAATCGTAGACTTGAACAGGTTAAGATTGTTGTGATTGGGGAAGCAACCTCTTGAGAGTGGTTTCCACAAGGCAGTGGTTCGTGGGAAGAAGCTGCTCAAGTGGAACTTACATCTCACCAAGGGAATACAAAGGGTATGAGGGTGGATCACTACAATGTTCATGGCATGGCAGGTCTCAGCCATGAAGGTAGAGGACTAGTAGAACTAAAGAGTGTAGTACATCTGAAAAAATCTCCATAGAAATAGCGATAAAGCAGTGAGAGGCTTCTGATATTTTGTCTGTGAGAAAGGCACTGTAGGGTGGAAAATAATTTGTCACCTTCAAGGATATGGAGGCTGTTTTGAACTCTATTGAGAATGGAAAGTGAAGACTGGGTTTGGTTTGGTTTGGTTTATTTTGTTTTACAGCATATCAACCTCAATGGGTTATTTAATGCTGACAAGATTTTTATTGCTAGTAATATGTCCTTTCAAAAATGTATTGCTGGTAATTTTTTCTTTCAAATATGTATAGCTGGTAATAATGTATTGCTGGTAATAATTTTTCTTCAAAAATTTATTGCTGGTAATAATTTTTATCAAAAATTTATTGCTGGTAATGATTTTTTACAAAATATTTCTGGTATTAAAACCTATTTTTACACTTTCATAATGTTTTGACCCCAGTTTGGGGGTTAACTATTTACCCATAGCTGGGACCCTAACAAGTACTACCACCCCAGGTCAGGGTGGACCTGGTAACACCGGCAATTAAGAGGTGGTTCCACACTCCTCAAAACCTCCTGAACAGAGTCCTTGCTGTCAGATGTAGTTTATCATCTTACCCAGGACGTGGATATAGTTTATCGTCCTACCCAGGATGGGTGAAGACTGGGCAGTTCCCATATGCAGCAGTACATATGTGTTGATTTTACATATAAAGCATGTACTATTAATCATAGTAATTAGTTGATCTGTGTTTTAGAAGTAATATTTTTAACTTTGAAACTTATATAAACAGCTGTTTATATCAAAAAACAATCTCATGAGAAAAAAAAAAGAAATGTGTGCACTCCTGTGTGTGCTTTTTGTGAGTCCTCTTGTGACTTTTGTTCCATTCTTATATAAGCTAGAAATAGGCTTCAATCAAAAACTAAAATTTAATATTTTTTGTTGTGTTTCCATTGGTTCAGAAGAGTCATGTGGTGTGCTCATTATAATGTCAGTGTGAAGATGACACCTAATCTGCTTTTATGTGTTTATTTTTAGATGATGAAATTTTAGAGGGCATTTGAAAATGTATTATTACTCACACCACACCAAAGAAAGCCATCTCATTTAGACACTCACACCATACAGTGAGAATGACCCAAGCAAGATAAAACACTTGCCCAAACACCCAACTACATCAACCACACAAAAAGAAATTTCCAAAGTGAGTTAATTCTATCCATAAATATATATATATATACACATACACTCACATAATATATACATATATCTTCACATTTAAATATATTATGTATACACTCACATAGACTTTTCCAAACATTATTTCTCTAGACTATTTATGAGCATTCCAACCATTCTAAGAACATTTTCTCCTCCTTCACTAAAATCATTGTTGCTCTTAAATTGTCTTTAAATTTGCTTAAAAATTTTCTTTTATTCTTCATTTTGGGTATGGGAAGAATCATTTGCTCTTTCTTTCTCTCACCTACTGTTGGCTGAACAACACCTTCCCTTTCACCCAAAAGTGATTAGTAGTAAATGCCTTATATTTGACCGTCAAAATAAAGCCAGCAACAATCAGCAGTAGCCCATGCAATAAATTTTGTGAAAAAATATTGTGATAATCATGAAAGGGAATAAATGTCAGTAGTTTTAAAAGGACAATTCTAAAAGCTGGGCAGAGTATTACAAGACAGGAGGATTTCTTTGGTAACAAAGAAAAGAATACTGAGCTGTTATGCAACATTTATCCTTCTTTACAGCAACAAATGTTGGACAATTTCCTCAAAGATGAAGGTAAAACTCAAGTCAACAGAGGTGTGGTTCTACAGATAGGAAGCTAAGTATATCATGGACTAAGCATGTGAGCAATGATAAGGTCTTAGAGAGGTTGCAAACAAGGAGGAGGCTTATACTTAACATCAGAAAGAGGCAGCTGATGTTCCTGGGACACATAATGAGGAAGGAGAGCCTGAAGAATCTGATACTCATGAGGGAAAGAGAGACAAGGGACATACCTGGTGTGCTTAAGCAAATGGATGACAGAATGTGGTCTGGGGAAGGAAGCAGAGTGAAGAAACTTGTTGAGATCTGCAAGGGATAGAGGGAGGTGGAGAGCCATAATCAACTACATCCTGAAAGGACATGGCACATAAAAAGAAAAGATGTTTCAAAAGACTAAGAAAGTAAAAGTTTCATACAAAAGGAAAAATAAAGAGAATAGTTAAGAAACTAAATGAATAAGTACCAACAAGAGTATGGTGCTGGTTAATGGAACAACTGGCAACATATTCCACTTGGTTAAAGGTCCATACAATCTGAAAAATAAATATCATTCACTACACAATTGCAACAAGAAAGCATAGATGTTAAAGATATATAAATAATACAAATATATATAATTACATTGTTTAAAATTTGGTATGTTTATGGTCGAAAAGTGCTCAATATTGGGCATACAGTGTTTTCTAAATTTAAAGAACACAAACATAGAAATCGCCATTAGACATGGGGTGAGGATCGCTTATGGCCTGATACTGCCAGACACCATACAGTACTAATTTTAATATCCACAATATATATATATATATATATCAGGTGTGAAGAATAAATAGTCTAAATTATGCAAAAATGAATATAACACTGACATCTCATTTTAACTTATATATTTACCAAAATTACACAAAAATATCCTGAAATACTAAAGAGTAAATTTATTCAATACAATTGCCATTGGCTTCAACCTTGGCCTCCAGACAATTTTGGAATCTCCTGTAACTATTCTGGACAGTCTCCTTGTTTAAGTTGGTGAATGCTGCCATAATCCTTGCCTTCAGTTCATCTTTGTTGCTACAAGGAATTTTGTTAGTCTTTCGCTCAACTGTGCCTCACACATAATAATCAAGGAGATTGCAGTCTGGGGAGTTAAGTAGCCAGATTTAAGAGATGATGCAGTTGCAGAAATTGTCTGACAGCCATGTGGGTTCTCCTGCATGTATGGCATGGTGCAGAGTACTGTTGCCAGATATAGGGTCTTCTAGCAGCCACCCTCTTGACACAGGGCAGCACTACTTCCTCAAGGCATTTGATGTAAGCCTCCATGTTGAGTCTGGGGTGCTCACCAACAAATTCAAGAGTTCTTTACTTATTAGAATCAGAGTGAGTTTTCCAGACTGCCATACCTTTGTAATCACCATTATATGCATCCAACTCTTTCCAAATCCTCTGCACTGTCCTTAGATTGACATCCAAACACTCTGAAATGTTCATATTGGAGCTTCTGGTGTGAATGTCAAGCAGTACAGAATGCTGTTTGAAAATTTCTGACAGAGTGAATTGTGTCATGGTGCGCATTTGGTCGCTGTATTCAATGTTGGATTGTGTAGCAAATACTTTTTGTTTGCTGTGCTGTGAACACGCAGACTGTTTTTGTATTTTGTTCGCTGAATATATATAGATATATATATATATATATAGGCAAAAAATCCATATATATATATATATATATATATATATATATATATATATATATATATATATATATATACACACACACACAGATAAAAGAATCCATGGGTAAGTAATCCAAGTAGGTCCTATCAATATAAAATATTAAAACTGATCTACAAAAGCGAGCTCAATATAATTTTATTATATAGTATATATAAATGAATTACAATTAATGAGATCCAAACAAATTACCCCATACAGATAGCCATTTCATCCATAGGAAAACCATTTCCCTGGACTTGTCAATGCAACAAATGTTAACAAATGTATCTGCATTGACAAATCTAGGGAAATAATTTTCCCATGGATGAAATGGCTATCTGTATGGGGTAATTTATTTGGGTTTCATTAATTGTAATTCAGTTATATATATATATATATATATATATATATATATATATATATATTACTCTTCAAGTATGAATTGAGTTCTCCGAGCCGGTGGCGTATTTTATATAATGAAAACATTAAAATTCCCTTTCTTTCTGACATGCAATGATGTCCTAGAAGTAAGATATCAGCTGGGTTTTGATCTCGGCTTGAAGAAGCAATCGGACATCTAACCACACTTTGGAGGTGTAATACAGCAAAACACTCTGTCTGTGGATGACTATATATATATATATATATATATATATATATATATATGGAGAGAGAGAAAGAGAGAAAAAGAGAGAAAGAGAAGCACAGCAAATGACCCATGGTGTATATCAATGAGTCTGCATTTGTTTAATTTTCATCTTATAAATCTATAACATTTATAGTTGAAGGATATTAGCATGTACTATTGCAATTCAAATGGCTGTTATGGTCTATTTCAGTTTTTTTAATCAGTAAATACTTATTAATAAAGTAGATAAAAGAATGAATGGGAACGAAAACAACAGTGTAAGACCTGTTGATTTTTTTATATTATTTTAACCTTTTAATATGTATTGTTTCACTAATGGAACATATTTTAAGACATATATCCAAGCCATAAAAGGTTAATAGCACATCACAAAAATCTCTTTTCCACCCAACCATGGGACAAGTCTTAACTATTAATTTAAAACTAATAAACATTACTTTGGAAAAAGAATTGTCCTTCTTTTTTTTTTTAATTAAATTTTAATATTACAGATGATAAATGTTCATACATTTCATCATATATATTGAAATGGCTTCATTTTCACAACCTGCATTTTCAGTGAAAATTGTAAGGACAATGAATTAACTCCCTTCTTTTAGGTGACTATGCAAGAAAAGAATTTTACAGTGGTTGACAAAGGATGTACTAGACTATTTTTGTCCTCTGCAACACTTTTGTGGTATTTAGAGACCTTCAAGCATGTTAGAAATTTCTCAGTATTATTAGATTAGATTAAATTAAATGAATTAGTTTTCTGTTTAAGGATTCAAGCAAATATTATAAGAACATGGAATTTAAAATTTTAGGCATTTACCTGATGGTTCTTTGAATCATGACAGAATAATCCAATATAGGTCCTTGGCACATCCTAAATGTTACAATTAAAACATTTATTAAGATTTTGTTTTTAAAGAAGATATTAATAAGCTTCATTTTGAATCATCAATATGAACAAGAGATTAAATAAACAAAAAATTACTTCTGAGCAAAGCACAGGAAACATAAGCATTCAACAATCTGAACAAATATTGTGAGCCAGAGATCAGTAATATAACAACTGGATGAGTTTTGATAGCTAAAACTTTTGATTCATGTATAAACCACTAATAGAAACTAGCAGATATCTGTGGGTTACCGCACTTGGGTTTGCCAAATGTCTGTTAGGTGGCACTGTTAAGTCTATAAAAGACAAACATTTCCTTCCTCTTTTTCTTTCATCCTCTTGCACAAAGATGTAATAGGATGTAGATAAGGACATCCCTACTGAGGCATGTCTGTTTTCCCAGTCAACTGACAACTGAACTCTTACACACATGCATGCATATCACACACAAAGACAAGCACATTCTTAATAGCTACATTTTTAATATCTTTTCCTTTCCTTTCAACTGTGCACATATTAACATTATTTACATTGTTTGGACTGTTGTCCTCATTTTGTTGCCATATTCACAATGTTTTGTCCATTGTACACTCCGGCCTTCTTCAGGTGATTGTAATTTCGAACTGAACCCTTTATTTCATCCAATGGAGTTGATTGTTCTAGTTCCACGTGCCATGCATCTGATGTTGTGCTCTAATAAAACTGGAGGTCATACTTTGGAAGTGATCCTCACACCATAGCATCATTGAAGATATAAAGTAATTAACCCAGTAAAGATTATTTATTTATGGGAATTTGGAAAGTGAAACAACTTAAGCATAACTGGATATTGACAACATGTACTGCTTCCATAGCAGCAGTGGATGTATCTAGGGCAAGACAGCTTGATGAATCTCATGCCTCTTCAAGCTGGTTTTGAATTCAGAGTTCTCCTTGACTTGTGGCCTTCCTAAAGTCTAAAGCTCCCGGTCTGCCTTATTTTTGACAGGAGTTTGAATTCAGAATTTTCTTTCGCATAGACTGGTTGCCTTCCTAAAGTCTAAAGCTCCCAGTCTACCTTATTTTTTACAGGAGTTTAAATTCTTCTTTATTTCTCATAGACTGGTTGCCACCAAATGCAATAGAGCCCAATCTGTTAATTAGCCCGTATTGGCAGAAAATGTAATCATGCTTTTTCCCAGGCCACTAGTGCAAAGTAAATGAAAGAGATTTGATCAGGATTTGAACTCAGCATGACAATTCTACTTTCTACACTGATAACCCTTACAGGACCTGCACAAGAGGAAAGAAGATACCTAATTAAAAGAAGAAAATTCAATAAGCATTGCTCATTTTCTTAGAAAATCATTAATAAAATAAGTCAATACTCATGTACTTACATCTTCAGGTTGTTTCTCATCCCAGGTAAACAAAATACTACCATCTTTTTCCTGGTTAATCAACCGCAAATTAAGAGGAACATCACCTAAATAATGAAAATGAAACCTGTAACTTATAATATAAAAAATAAGCAATGAAAACATATAAATATTCCATAACAATTATTTGCATATTGCATCATAGGACAACTGTTACATGTTGGGTATCAATTGATTAACTGACTGGTCCAGTAAGAGACATGGGATAGGGGATTTAATATATAAAGAAATCTACAGAGACAATGAGAGGGTGTCTTTTAGATGATTCTTAGATAGTTTCCAGGAGAGTAAGTTACCAAGAATTCATGAGATATACCACAAAGTAATATAAAATATTGGCAACGAGGAACCTCAACTTTTCAACACTTCCATTAAAACAACAGTGGAATGCAACGTTATGGCAATGGTGACATAGGGGCTGTAAAAGCCTAGCAATTGTGCAAACCAAACTGATTTTTTTCCAAATTGGGGTGAATTGCCTTAAAAAAAAAAAAAATTAATGTTTTTATATTTTGGGTTTTTCTTTCTAACGCAGAAAAAAATTCTTTCTGATCAGCATCTGGAAAATGGCAACACATGAACCAGGGTAACAGAATTTTTAATGTACTTACTGTATTTGACAGCCTCAGGGGAGTAGTTTTTTTTCTGAAATAAGTCTTGAAAATTTGTTGTGCATCCTTAGGGACAAAGGTTAGGGTTTTTGTTTAATCTATGCTAACCCCAGAGGAATGTTATTTATGCCAGACGGTTAACTGAATTCCTGTATGTGATCCCTTAATTAAATTTATAAATTATACACTGTTTAAGGTAGTAAAGAAACAAAGTATAATAAAAAATATGTATACGTACAGAATGCTTCCATGGCAGACTAGGGTAAGGGAGCCAACAAAGTAAAAGTATCAAGGAAGTTAGACACAGGTAGCACCACTCCATCTCAATGAATATCCTAGTTGGCAACTGTTGAACTAAGCCACACCAACTTGTTACAATATGATAAACATTAACAGGGTTTTCCTATTTTGTTCTCATTATTTTTACCATTTTTATGTTACCCGCTCTTTACCTGTTCACCTGTTACCTGTACAAGCCTGACAGATTGAAAACATGTTGGTACCACTTTTTAAAATGATAAAATCTAGTTCATGTAGAGTCTGTCTATATTTCTGAGATGAGGTATTATGTACAGTATTTACATTATTTGCACTATTGTCCTCATCTTTGTCGCCATATTTGTCACAACGTTTCAGCCGTTGTATGCTCCGGCCTTCTTCAGGTGGTTGGAATTTCGAACTGAACCCTTTACTTCGATCACTGGGGTAGACTGTTCTAGTTCCACGTGCCATGTTTGATAGATGTCAGTTATCAGTTATCTCCTGCTAATTTTCCCTCTGAAAGTTCTCCACTGCCTTAACCGGGTATTGAACTCACACTCTTTGGGTCTGTCACTAGATCTAACCAACGCCTTTATCCACTGTGCCATGTGTCCTTGAGGACACATGGCACAGTGGATCAGCACAGTGTTTTGGCAGATTCATTCTACAGCCTACTTTAGCTGTACTGTTCATATAGAAAGAGAGGCTCACTTTCTTCTGGTAGTGTACTAGTTCATGTAGTCAAGATAATCTACATGTTGCTAAACCACCTACAAAACATTTTGGTAAGGCAGGGGGAAATGCTGAGACCTTATTTTCATGTTTATTCTTTTTTCTCAAAAAAATTGCACTTTAAACTTAGCAAGTATCCTTGATGCCAGCAAATACAGTGAGTAATAAATACATTTTGATATCATCATAAAATTAAACAGATAAAATTAAAATTTGATATCATGAACCATCCCACATTATATAAACTGGTATTAAGAATGACTATGATTCATTTGTTGTACAGGGTGTTCCAAAAGTTATATTACTATTGATAAACTTGTAAATTTCATATTTATTTACCAAATGGAATCATGTTTCTGTATGACAATATATTATTAAGAAATTTTATTGGTTGATCTATAGAAGATGATATCATGCAAATTTTCCCTGATTGCTATTTCACAAGTGTATATTTTCTGACAATTGTCGCATGACTTTTGAAACACCCTGTATTTACTAACAAAGTATGTACTAACCCCACTACTAATTTTATAACTATTTATAAGTTCATATCAGCATGCATTGAATATTGCTGCCACATCTGTTCTAGTGTTTCTGCTATATATTTAGAGATTTTTTATAAAATACAAAGAACAAACTGCAATGTAATTGGTTGTGACCTGGCATCTCAGCTTCAGTTTCTTTCCCACTGCCATAACAAAGCTTCCCTATGCCTTTTCTATAAATATTTTCATGTTCTGATGAGCTTTCACCTTTGGTACCTAGACTTTATAAATTTAAATGCAGTACTAGATTAGTGGCAAGGTCTCATGATTTTACAGTTGAAATGGCTACATGTAACCATAAGTTCTATGCTAACAGTTTCTTCTCTCACACTTCTCACTTATGGAACTCTCTTCTGGCTTCTTGCTTCCCAGCCAACTTTGATCTTCAAAAATTTAAATGTATTGTCAATTGTTATCTTCAATCTTAATTCTTGTTCTTTTACTGTTTTCTTTCTTCATTAATATTTTCTTTATTCTCACATTCTTTCACACTCAGTAACCACTTGTGTCTTAGTGGCTTTATGACTTTGCTTGGGGTGAAATGATTAAAAAAAAAGACATAAGTCCATGGCACTAGGTTGTATCTTTTAGCTCAGTGACCTGCATTGCAAATCTGCTATGATTGTAAGTACCTAATTGTGTCTATAGAGTGTTGATTTGTTACCCAACTTTGACTGCAAGTATTACATACTAATGAATCATCACATTTTTAAATTGACTAGTGTGGGTAGCAGGTTAAGAGTTTCACAAACTAGTTTTGGCTGGTTCTATTGTTTACCAATTTCTCTGTGCCAACTGAGTGCTAATTCCAATAAGGTTTTTGTCTCAGTTGGGGTGAGTAGGTGCGGAAAGATTGCAAAAGTAAAGAAACAACTCAAACTTTTCAAACAAGAGACATGATATAAACAGAATATTTTATTATGCAAATTAATATCAGTAGACATACCATTAGAAGATTTTAAACCTTATACACTTTTTAGACCTGCTATCTGAAAGGATGTATGAAAAGGCTGCAGCCAAAACACAAAGCAACTTACTTTTTTTTTTCATACAATTTAATCTCCATGTCTTTGATTTTGTCAGCACAGTGTTTTGGCAGATTCATTCTACAGCCTACTTTAGCTGTACTGTTCATATAGAAAGAGAGGCTCACTTTCTTCTGGTAGTGTAATGCAAAAAAAAATGTCTAGCAAACAGAATATTTTTAAAAGTCATCTTAGCAGAAATACAAAATGGATTTCCAAAATATTGTGTTGGCAAGATTAAAAACAAGAAAATGAGATTAAAAAGCTGGAATGTTAAGGATATTTCTCAAAGTTATAGACAATACAAAGAAATCCATTAATCCATGATCTAAAATGATTGATTGAGCATAAACATGATATTCTATCATTTATAACCTAGAGAAAGAAAAGAGATTTCAAACCAGAAAATTCATTAAAAAAATAAAAGAAAAATGCTTACTCCAAATTGGCTTACAAAATGTTACAGTTGTGGCCAATAAAAATACTCTAAAATGGCTTCCAAGGTATAATAGTTGTAGCCAATAAAAATACTTATGCTAAAATAGTTTCTAAGAATAGCAGTTGTGGCTAATGAAAAAAGCTTCCAAGGTGTTACAGTTTTTGTCAATAATTACACTGTTGTCCTAATCACAGCTTGTTGAGATGACATATTAGGATGTATTATTTCTTATATAATTTGTTATTCTGTTATTGACTATTTTATTTTTCAGGTTTATTGTATGACATGACTTGATTAAAGCTTATTATAAAAATGAATATTACTGATTTTCATAAGATAACATAAAATATTAGCATGTTGCAATGATATGGATAATTTTTATGTTATTACTAAGAGGAAAAATCAAAGGATATTTTTATGTAAAAATAAATTTTTTTATCCTTTTTGGAATCTTAGAAATTTTGGTAAAAAATCTTGTTTTTCTGGCCTCAATAAAGAACCTTAAATTTTTATGAGAAATTTCAGAATGTGAAAAACACTTTGATTTGGAAATTCTTGCAAAAATCAGATAATGATCAGTTTTTAATGAAATTTTCAGAACCTATTTAGAAGTGAATAAAGTTATTTTTTTTAATGTTTCATTTTAGAAAATCTGGGTAAAAAATTTTTTTTGTTTTACATCTGTTCTCCACATTTATTAAATTTTATGAAATTTCAAGAAATTTTTTTTGTATCACTTAATGTTTATATTTGTTATAAGGACAAGTCATTGGAGAATTTAAATCATCAAATATTTTTGTCAAATATGATTTTCAGTTGTTGAAAATCTGAACTGAATCATAAAATAAAAAATCCAATAAAACTAAGAATTTTTTTAATTAGAAAAGCTTTTGTTTTTATGAATAAAATATATCATGGACACTATTTGTCTTAAGAAAAAAATTTTATGAAAAATGAATTTTTACAAGAATTGCTTTAATTATTTTTTTAAATTTTAATTAGAATTATTTATAAACATTTAAAATTCTATATTAATTTATAGAAGTTAAGTAATACTGTTATTAAATTAAAACTGGATTTACTAATCATAAATGAAAAAGCTCAATACAACTCAATGAACCCCATTATTTAAAAAAAATTTTGAATTGTTTTTGTTCGTGCGAAAACATATCAAGTTTTGTAAATACTGATGTCCATACATGAGATTATCAAAAAGTTTGAGAGGTACTTTTCTAGCATTTTCTCAACAAGCATCTTTATAAGTAATTGTATTCATCAAGTAACTTCTTTCAGTTCTGTCCCCCTTACTTAAATTTTCCAAATATTAGGCTGTCATTAAATTACTCAACACATCATTAAAACACCCACTGTGTATTTGAAAAAAAATGATTTTCTGCAATATTTTAAACTAAATGTAAGTAATATCTGTTTCAATTCAGATTAATTAAACTTATCTAAATTTTCTAAAATAATGTTTCAAAAAAGTATATTTTATTTTTGAATGATTTTTTAACAAAGAGAATTATTTTGTGTTGACAGATCTGTCAATCAATATGGACGTGACAAATATCTTAGAATTTCAGAACTGATAAAGGAGAAAAAAAAGATTCCAGTCAATTTAAATTCAGTTTAAATTGAAAATATTCCAAAGTTAAAGTAGTTTGCTTAAGTTATTTGGAATATTAAATTTAATTAGCTTGGAATTAAAACTAAAATTAAAGATTCAAAAAAGATATTTCACTTTTTAAAACGCATTTTAAACTTAGGTATCACTGTTTTTGGAAGATACTTTATCTCTACTAATTCACCAAAAAACAGCATAGTGTGATGAAAAAAGGCCCCAAACTTAATAAAAATAAAGTTTTTATCGTCAAAATCTGTATGTTATTATTAACAGGAAAAACCAAAATATATTTTCATTATATATAAATCATTGATTTTTTGGTAAAATTGAATCACACAGTTACCCAAAATTCACCTCTGAATTGTAACATACAAAACCCAACAAAACTACACGCAAACCACCAATCTGCCACTGGATGGCATGTCACTAGTGTTTACCGCTAGTGGGCCGTCAGACCACAGGCATGTTCCTCTTGGCAATGTTACCAATGGCGGACCACTAGATGCTCATCAGTGGCTGCCACCAGAGGACTGCTAACATTGCCATAGGAGGCTGGCCAGCAGGCCATTAGCAGCTTGCGTTTACGGTAGAGTTTACCGCTGGTGGCCAGCTGTCAGACCGCCAGCGTGTTTGTCTCAGCAATGTTACCACTTGTGAACCGCTAGTTGTCCAGCATTGGCCTGCCAGTGGCTACCGCCAAAGGACTGCATTGCCATCGGCGGCCCGCCAGCAGGCCACTATCATCTTACGTATAGGGATATTATTTCATTAGAAAAGCTTTTAATGGCTTTTATGAATGATATATGTTAAAGACAATATTGTCTGAAGCCAAGATATTTTTCTGATGAAGAATGAATTTTTACAAAATTTTTTTTTTTTCAATTTTAAATACAAAAATGTGATAAAGTTGTTAAATATTTTAAAATTAAGTTTCAATCTGTGCATTTTAGGAAATGCTGTTATTAAGTAGATCTATCTTTACAGATCATAAATTTGAAAGCTTATTACAATCTGCGATACACGTGTATTTTAAAAAAAGAATTTTACACTGTTTTTGAGTCTGCATAAAAACTTTTTTTTCCAAATATATGGATGATCATAAGTGTCCTTAATGTCACATGCTTTAAGAGTTGTTTCTCCAGACGGCAATATAAATTGACCTCAGAAAATGTTAGTTTTTTCATATTGTGAACATGTATTAAATTCTCTGACTTCGACCATCGTCGTCGCATTTTCAAGTTTTTTTTACGTCCTATTTCAGTAAATATTTTAATTGAATTTATTAAATCTAATTAATTTGTTTTTTCAGTGAGAAACATACTACAATTATTAATTATTTTATTTTTTAGTTTCAATTCTAGGGATGGAAACACAACAATTAATATAAAAAAATAAGGAAAATTAAAAATTAACACATTAAAAAAAATAACATTTCATAAAAATGTGTGAGGTACCTATAATTATTAGGCGCCTATCTTATTTATGAAATTTTATTGTATTATTTTTAATTATTAATTTTTTACTTAATTCATATGTGAAAATTTTTCATAACCGAGATATAAAAATTGATAATAAATAAAAATAATACCATAAAATTTCATAAGAGATGTACGTAAAAATTAAGTACCTCTCTTATGAAATTTTATCTCACCCTCAGTTATGAAATTTTAAATTTATTTTCTTAGTATTTTAAATTTTATTTTTCCAGAAATCATCTTCGAACGGAAATCTAAAGTACCTAAAAAAAAAAAAAAAATCAATAAAATATAAGATTGATGAAAGTATTGGTTAATTTTTTTTTTAAATTACTGTGTAGTTAAATTAGTTCATTTGAGATTCGAAAAAATTGTCACTTCTGTTCTTCCGTCCGATAACTCTACTTGACCTAAGCTGTCAATACATCGATTTTTAACTTGTCAGTTAACAAACATCTACAAAACAAGTGACCACAGTTAAGACATGCTTGTTAAATGGTATTCCGCTGAAGCAAAAAAAAAAAAAAAAAAAAAAAAAAGATTTTTTAATCAAAATTTCGAATGTTCTAAAAAGGATGAAAATTTTTAATAAAATAATCAAAAAATACTTTGGCCTTTGCTCTCAATAGCACAAATATTTTTAGACGATAAAAGTTTTTTTTCATCAAGTTTGGGGCCCTTTTTTCATTATGGTATGATGCTCTTTTTCGGCAATTAGTGGTGATTTCTACTTTAGTAACCTTTTTAAGAAACATATTGCTCTTTCTCCGCCTGTGTCTTTTTTTTTTCAGTAAAAATTATTTAAAACGGGGCTTAAGAGAAAGAGAAAGAAAGGTTAAGGTAAGGAAGGTCGGGGGGTTAATAAACAAAAGCTTTCACGTTGGAGGAGAGAAAATTATCACCTAAAGCCGCTTTGATTAGCACATGACATGTCCAACAACAACAAAAAAAAATTAATAAGAGGGGGACAAGTTACAGACAGGCGTAAGAGGTAAACATGCCACCTGACAGATATGTAGTATTATTCTGTACCATAAGAGTGGCAGTTTGACACGAGAGAAAGAAGGTTCGAGTTTTAAATCAAATGTCTCTATGTCCTCATTTTTTTTATTTATGTAACAAATGCAGTTTTTAAATACTCCATTTTAATCACTCTTTTTTCACACTAACCACCGTCAACACTACCAACAGCAACAATAAGTAACTGTAAAAGTAAAAATAAATAACATTTTTTCATTTACTACTGTTAGTGTTTAACAGTTTTTTAACACAATTATTCAATTAAATTATGTTTGCTCACATGATCAACTCCACCCAGAGTCAAACAGGGGAAAAAAAAACATTTTTTTCAAAGCCTACTTTTAATTTTAAAAAATTCAATAAAAAAAATAATAATTTTTTTTTATTGAATTTTTGTAAGTATAAAAAAGTAAAAACATTTAAACATTCAATTCACTTATTTTCATTACGCTTAAAAAAGATATATTAAAAATTTTTAAAAATTGATATGCGGCAATCAAAAATTTTTAGATTATTGACTCTAGTTGGGTTTTTTTAGCAACTTTATTGAAAACTGAAAGAATGGCCATTTATGAAAACAGTGCTAAAAAGAATGTTTATTTAATTTTAATATGAGAAATTAAATTGCAATTAATCTGGGATTACAATTTCGGGGTATTGTTTATTAAAATAAAATAAATGTTTGTTTTGTTTTTTTGTAGTTTAGTGGCAGTCAGTGTCTCTCTATCACGATTGCTGTGGGCGTGAGATTCATTTTAAAAAAATTAATTAAAAAAAAAACGAAAGATAAATATTTTTTTACAGTGTCAACTGTCAAGTTAACATTTTTTTTATCTCAATTTTTTTCATTTAATTACAACAAAAAAATAATAACAGCTTTCAAAAATTAAAAATTATGTCATCCCGAAGACTATCAGTAACAGAGCTTTATTTTTAATCTTATGATTTTACTTTGTTTTTCATAGACTTGGTATCTACTTCTATTTTGTTGTAAGTGACCAAAATGCCCTTACATTCCCCCGAAAAACACTAATTAACTAAAAGATCACCAAAAGATGTTTCATGCAATTTTAAAAACTCCAATGTCCTTTTTTGTTATTCAGATGAAGATTAAACTTTGAAGTGAAACACGCGTCCAAATAATTAATCAACAAAAATCATTTAAAAAAAATGTTATTAGCTCAAAATTTGTCCGGAAAAGATGGTAAGAAAAACAAAATTTTATTTTTACTCAATACTGACTTGGTTACTATTCTTCACCAGACCTCAGTGGATGCAAATTCTATGAAGAGGAAAACTAATTCTTTTTTTCGTTATTTTTCAGTAAATTACATAAGGATTGGGTTAGTTTGGGTGGAAAAAAATCAAAACTTATTTTTTTAATTAATAAATTATCCACTTTCACTTTTTTACCAATATCAACAAGTAGTTTTATTGTTTTTATTTTGGCGATTTTCTTGTAATTTAGGGTCCTAAATTATCAATGTTGCTACCTGGTCAGTTACAATATGAAATGCTAAGCAGAACCAGTAATAAAAACAAAGTGTAAAAAATGCCAATCAAAAAGTAAACACTGCAGTTATGGCTACTTTTACAGGTGTATGTACTGAGGAAGTTCACTTTTTAACTTGTAAAATCTGATACATTTCTTTAATTGTATGAATAGAAATACAAATAGCAAAAAACTGATACTGTCAAAAAATAAAATGACTAAATTTATTTTGATTGTAAGTCAGTAGTTTAGTGTCCTCACTCACGACAACAGGATTTGGAACACTAAACAGACGACAAAATCACCACCAGTTTTTTAATAACAATACTCTTGTTACCCTATTTATTTATTTTTTATCTTTTTTATTCCTGTCTTTAAAAGATATTAGGACTTCATTTTTCCCCGTTTTTTTCTATGCCCACTATCCTTTTTACGTCCTCACATTGTTTTACTTTTAGGCTCAACGTAAACCACCTTGCCTTGAAAACTCGTAATCATTTTCTTGAATCAGTTTTTTTTTTTTTAGTAAAGACTCCTTTAAAAAAAAAACATAAATAAATCACAGGTGAGAAAGAAAAGAAATAATCCTCACAATACATATTTAAAAAATAAAATTTTTACAAAGAAAACTTTACAAAACTTACTCATTTTGTCAGATTTCTTGTGACGGGACAGGATATAATTTTTAATGTCTTGCCCAATATCTGATATTATCTTTAGCTCCAGCATAATTCTGTAAAAGATCCGGTAAGGAGAAAACAAATTTCTCCTTTAAACAAAAAGATTCCTTCTCCACTGGTTCGTTATCGTCTGTGTTCTTTTTTGACTTGCACGTAAACATCCATTACTCATGTCAGACAATTACGTTGTTGACAGCTTTCATTGTATAAGCTGACTGCTTGTTTGTCTAATTGTTTTGGGTATTATCTCAGGGGCTGAGGACAGAGCCAGTCGAAATCGAATTATATAGGAAGGTTGTGTTGCGTCAAACATCCAAGTAGAGAGAGAGAGTTAACTTGCTTTTAAAGTCAGTATTCAAGATATTTGCTTTTTTTACTTACCTGTCCATGAACACTGAGCTCTTTTACGGGTCAGAAGCACAATTAATTTTTATCACAAAATGTAGGCTGACTCTGGATTTATACATTTTTTACAGCTATGCTGGGGATCTTTTGTTTTATAGGTAAATTCGATAAACTGAAGCTCTACCCTTCTTGGTGCATTGCAAAAAAATGTATAAAATTTGTTTGAGGGCCACCATCGGAGGTTAATGACAAATCATTTTTAAGTGTTTCTTATTTTTTATGCCATGTACTTTCAAGACGTAGGTGGCCATGGCTCTCCACAACTTTCTGTTTTTTTTATCTACATAACATTTTTGCAACTTGCTCCATTATCATCCTTTTTTTCTGCCACCCATTCTTCCAAATTCATTTACTTGCTGTTTTCCTTTGCTTCTCGTTTTCAATGTCCTGTGAGTGTTAAATTCTCCAAACCCACTTTTCTCATTATGTGTCCCAAAAATTTCAGCTGTCTCTTTCTGATTATAATTATCAGTTCCATTGTAATTACTATTTTCCTTAAAACTTTCTCGTTACTCACATGTTTCGTCAAGGGTATTCTTAGCATTATTGTCGGTAGTAGGTGTACCCGGTGCCGCCACGGACTTTCTACAAAAATCGAAAAACACATTTTAAGTTCAAAGAAAACGTTAAAGCCTTCTTTGAACATAAATTTCGGTTCTATTTAAAAGATAATGGTAAAATCTCATCCGAATAAAATAAACTTTTATTTTCGTATATAAATAAAGTTCTTAGACATTTTTAAAATATTAGTACTTTTTTGCCACTCATCGAGCCGCCATGGTATACGAAAAACGTAAACAATAAATTTAAAATTCTCTTTAAAAGCCAATATTTGTCCTAGAGATATGTTTCGAAGTCTATTAGTAAGTAAATTTAAGGATTAATTAACTGGATTTTATAAAAGTAAGCATTACTTTTTACTTAAAACAGAATGGAAATAACGTTTTATTTACGCAGGCTAGCCTGTAAGGTCAAAGGACATGGTAGAAAGATTTCCATTTTACCCCTTGACGAAAAAGCGCGGGAAAAGGTAAAGATATAACAGAAAACCAGCAGTGCAATAATCAAAAATTTGTTATTTAGGTTTAAAACTTTCTTTAACCTTATATCGTCAATAATTTATGAACATCATTTTTTATTGTATACGCTTTTATTAAACCTAGTACAGTGTAACCCGGATATAAGAGAGTTGTCGGGACCGGAGAAGAAGTCTCTTATATCCGGGTTTCTCTTATATCCGGGTTTGGTCTATTAACACAGGCTCTAATTTGGGACCAGAGAAAATCTCTCTTATATCCGGGTCTCTTATATCCGGGTTACACCGTATAATTTAATTATTTTTTATATACTGTCTGAACGGGAGATATGAAATTAGAATAATCCTCCTATTTGGAATAGTAGTTAGTCGACGCGAGATATCAGAATTATTAGCCTTTTGTACATCCATATACCAAAAAACTAATCTAACAGTTGCTAAAAGGAAATAAATAAAATAAAATTCTTTTAAAAAATGTCCACACTCGAAAATGATATTAAAGTTAAAGTTTACATTTTTTTACATCTTCAAATATATCTTTATTTAATAAAATAAACTTGTGATGAACAGCAACGGGGTTAATTTCAAATTGCACTAAAAAATTATAAGTGATATTTTTAAAAATAAATTATTACGTTTTAATTAGATTTTTTTCTGTCGGATCTCAAAGAAAATAACGTGTTTTATTAAATTATGCAAGCGCCAATTCTCATAAAAAAAATTAGAGTTTTATTGAATTGTTTTCGTCAAGATGCAGGCCGAATTTCCCATATGTTCACATTCGATATTGGATTGCATATTTTTTTTTACTGAAATAATATCTTCACTCCTTCAGAGATTTTTTTTAACTGTAAAAAAATTGGACGAACACGCCCAAATTAAAAAAAGTATTATACACGCGATATCGAAAAGGGTGTGGGAAATATACCCCCACAAAATATTTCCCCAGGGTTTTTTATTCATCCAGTAAAAAAAAAAAAAAAAAACATTCATTTATTAATGAATGAATGAATAGATCCTGAGAATTTCGTTTTGACTCGGATAATTCCCTGATATTTCGCAAATATTTTAAAACAGGGAGTCACGATTATTTTGCTTTCATTGCCGAAAAAAGGATCCATTTTGGTGGTACTTTAAGAACCACGTCTTTGTCGTTTCAAGTCACTTCTTCATTTGTGAGAAATTGTCCAAAATTCACTGCCGTTTAAGAGATTCAAATTAATAGACTTTATAATTGTATGCAAATACATAAGGGAAACTACTCTATAATTAGCATTTACTATACTTGGAGTTATTTCTCTTGGGAAATGGATACTTCAGGTTGAGCATGAATATAAAACAAAAACAGCTGTACAGAACACGAGAGAAACTACTCTATAATTAGTATTTACTATACATGCAGTTATCTCCCTTGAAAAATGTATTCATTTTAACATCGGTTATCGGGTTGAGCGCAAATGTACATTTTTAAGTTGAAGATTAAAGCATTTTGACAGGGTTGCGTTAACAAAAATCTCATTTTCATATGCCATTTTTATTGTGCTATTGGCACAAACACACTCGCAGAAACACTAACTTCCCTATGTGGAACATACTATTGCCCATAAAAGGATTTTCTCCGGGGAGAGAGTGAGACAAGAGAGAACGTCACCTTTCTTATCCCGAATATAAAATAAGGTGCATACAAAAACAAAGCACAAAACTCCATTGTGAAATTTGAAAGGAACAAACATTACATAGAGACATAAAAACAAAGAACAAAATACAATTTTTACAAAAAAAGCTTGCACAAAAATTTACCTTTGTGCGCCATTTTAGTAAAGGCAAGGTAACCAGATCAAAATATTGAATTATAGACCCATAAAAAGATATACAGTATTCAAAATTCCAATAATCGAAAAAACATTGAGAAGATAATACAAATTCCTTTTTAAAAAAAAGGTTCAAAATAATACATATTCTTTCAAATATGGTGCACTTACTTAATTGAAAGACGAAACAGAAGAGCTTTAACATGGTTAACTTGCATCACTAATACTTTTAATAATATTTTCTTTTTCTAAAACACAGTTCAATTCAATTCACTATTTTTTAATTATTATTTTATTTACATTGTTTTATAGAATTTTTTATCCCCCCGTCAAGAGAAAGAACAATAAATAAACTTAGTATTTCTTATTAATTTTTTTATTATTTTATAATACTTTCTAATAAAAAAAAATACCTATCTCAGAAGTCTGCTTGATCCTGACGAACATTCATCTGTAAACAAAAGATAATGAGATATTTGTAGGTGACAGTATATGAGGTGTTTGTCTACATGGCTACCTTGCTTCTTATTTCTTCTAACTTGAAGAAATAATGTCAGTTTCCTCTTATCATATGCTCTTTGGACGTGGATGTCCTGAAAGAACTGGTTATCGTCTCTGAAAGAAGTAAGTTTCCTTGTATAGTAAGAAGATCAGTCACCTCTCCACAGTTTGCCAAGGGAAGAAAACGTCTGTGAAGCCATTTGTCCACTTTCAGAATAAAGATCTTCAATAAACTCGTCTGAAAAATCGACGAATAAATCTGAATCTTAAAAGACTTGTTCGTAATCTTCAGCACCTTTTCTTGAATATAATTCATATTCAAGAAATTCATCTTATTACGTGACTGTGGTAATATTCTGATAAGAAAGTTTTAACTTTTCTCAACATATTTTGACAGTTTTGAGGTTGATATTTTTCTGATCAGCAGTTCTTTGAACACGTCCTGTACCTTTGTTTGATCAGATCCAAACAGCAGATTGTACATACTAAATTCTCGCATAACAGATGATGCATTTTGTTTCATTGGAATTAATATATCCAATGGTAAGAATGAGTGATGTAACATTTTGTTGTAAAATTAATGTCTTCATGCAGGGCTGATTCAAGGTTCTTCTGGGCCCTCACCGAAACTATGATATCATCCAAATCTATGATACAGGCCCACCACTCTACTACATTACCATTTTCATAAGGTAGTATTCATATAAAATATAAATTTTATTGTAACATAATTATTTACAATAATGGATCATATGCAATATAGGTGAAAAATTAAACTAGAAAATTTGAAAATAAATGCAATGAATCTAAATTCTAAATCCAAATTAAAGACATGTCATAATCATTCCATCTTAAATCGATCAACAATGTTTTACGGCAAATTTTAACGTCAATTTTTCTTGCTAAAAAGTTGAATAATTTAACACATTCAACATTATGGATAAAAGATAGTGAATTTTATATAGTGTTTTTTCAAGACTCAACATGAACAAAAAATTCACTGATTTGGACAAAGAAAATGGCGTCAAAATCTGTGAAAATGTTTCATCCTTTAATAGTCAGTTGTGCTTAGTTTAGTCTGTCACATATAAATGCAGATAAAATTCAAATGTTGATAAGATAGCGAAGGTCACAAAGATTGCCTAGGCCCCCCAAGAAGGCTTGGGCCCCCTCCTGTCGGTGTGCGTTGGTGGGGTTAGTATGCACCAGTCCTGT